TGCTCTTCATTCAGGCCTTCCTGTGTCCGTCTCTATTCAGAGTCCCCCTCATCTCCATACAGCTGGCCTCACTTGGTGAACAACACTGTCAACAAACTATGAGCCACACAAGGGAGATAGAAGCAGCTAAGTGTGGCATATGCTGTCAAGGATCCTTACACATTTCTCATGGATGCATGTCTGATTTCCGTAAAGCAGCAGGCGGCATGGCTGCAATTGGGGCAGTTGGACATATGTGGATATGAAGAGTTGTACCTTCTACTATCCAAAGCAAGCATGTAGGAGAACAAAAGAATGACAAAAGAATTAAAGGTTATATCTGTAATGAGTACATGACTAGTCTATGTCTCACCTACATTACTCATGGTAGGAATAGTGGAAAGTGAAATGTTAAATCATAACCTCAGTCATCGGTCTGGTTTGAAATAAATAAATTATATCTATATATATCTATATCTATATATAATCTATGTATCTACATCTCTATATATCTCTATATATCTCTATATATCTCTATATATCTCTATATATTAGGTAATTTATATCATAATTGCAACACTCAACAGCAGTACTCTATCTAGATTGCCATCTCCTCCACCTAACTGTTACTCTGGAGACAGATGTTGCATTCATTACATTCATTAAAACAAGCCTGTTTGCCTCTGATCCATCACTCAGTTATTCTGTCCACAGTCCAAACACTGGTGTCCCACTACCTCCTACATTCTGCATTTCTATTCGTAGAAACAAAAATAAAATGCACTACCAATTCACTGCCCTTTTGTGTCATAATCCAAACACAACGCGCTCACACACAGCTGAACATAGAAATCAATATTCATTTATATCATCTGCCGTAGCTCTCATAAAACTGGAAAATAAAAGCTGCAGTGAGTAGGTTGCTTTGTCGCTTTGCAGGGCAAGTATTGATGGGCTGAGTATATGAGGTATGGCTAAGAGTAGGGATGTAAAGAGCACATGAGGACAAAGCTGCTGTGTTTCACAGCTAAGTGAGAGAAGTTTATGTGAGTCATGCTTCTGCAAGGACAAAACTGAGCTGGTCTTGTGTTTATGCAGCTCAATGTGCCATCTATGCCACTCTAACTACTGGCAGTGAGAAATTGATGGATAAATCCAAATGAAAGAACTGTGTGTGTGGGCAGGAGAGTCTTGAAGTTTGAACGAAACTGCTTGCTTGCTTGCAAGTACTAAATCTCAAGCAAAATAGAGGTGTAAAGAAAAAACAAACACAAAAACATTTGGTACAATGGAGTCTGGTCTTCTCCCCAGTACTATCTTAAAAGAGTCCCATTTCTGTAGGTCCCATGATAAAGCTCCATGGACTATGATGCCCCACATCTAAACCACTGCTTGTGCTAGCTTCAGTGAAACAACAGCTCTGTTTCAAGCTGTAGTAAAATGTGAATGGCTCAAACTGGACAGTGACAGTGATTACATGCAAATTCAAAATCTGATTTAATATTAGATTTTGAGTTTTAAGACTATTAAATTACATGTAAAAAGCAAAATCATCTCTTTTTCTGATCATGGTCCCTCTGATTACTCACATAAGGTGCAGTTTGCATGTCATTTATGTAATAAAGGTACAGAAATCAGATTATAATCAGATTTCAGTGAGCATGTGAACAAGACCAGTATAACCCATTTTGAATGGCTTTTAAAGAACATTCTTATGCTAGTTTTAATTAAAAAAAAAATAAAATATTATTCCTGTTTTTGTAATTCATGTGGGAACATGACATGCTTTCACAAGTTGCCACTCCAAAATCCCCAGTCCCAATGCAAACTCACGAGCACATATGCAAATACTGCACAATGCTTTGTTGCTCATAACAAACTCCTGTAAGGACATATTTCTCCTAAACTAATTGTAACAAGACTATAGCAAGAAGAATAAAATGTTGTTTGTGAACTTTTTACAGCTTTTGCATTTGTTTTGATGTCAAGCTGGCAAAGGAGAGCAATCGGCATAGAGGAAGGTCCAACGGGCATTGGGCCATGGTTGTATGAGGCAGCCCAGTTTCCACAGCAGGTGCTGGGCCATTACAGAGCTGAGCCACCCCACTCCGACCTGCTCACCATTTCCAGCCTCAGGCATCACAAGAAGAACAAGCTGCTAAAAAGACAAAGCATAAATAATACTGCTCCTTGTGAGCATTTGTACGGCCATTGGTTTGTCTGCTATGGCTACTGGACATAAATATAAAACTTGCATTTTAAACTGATATCTAATGCACTAAAACCATATATTAAATGCTATCACTGCTCCAACTTTTTTACTTCACTAAAATGAACTAGTCTCAGGGGCAAGATGAATTGCCAATGAATCCAAACTACATATCTAATAGCAAGACCTAATTACCGATTTTACTAAAATCTTTTTGCTGTTTTTGTCCAGTACCCTACAGTGCAGTCAATGTTTGACATGACTTCCATTTAAAACTAGATTTTTAAGGAGATCCAGTTATGACTAGCTATGTTGCATGATGTGTAAGTGCAGAAGAGGCATATATTTGTCAAAAGTTTGCAAACAGCATAAACCAGGAAAAAGAGTAAGTCAAACTGGTCTTTAAGACATATGCTTTCCCTTTGTGGATGTGTATGGTTCTGTGTGATGTGTGCAAAATGGTGGACTTCCCTCAGGACTGGAAGCAGCAGACTCTTTAATATTTCACAGCCTGATAAATAAGTCAGACAGACTGTAGAGAGATAAGGTGACTCTGTGAAGAGGACGAGGCACAGCAGAGGGGGAATGGATACAGCGAGCTGAGCTGAAGGGAGATAGAAAAGGCGATAGAGCAGAAGGTCAAAGAAGACTGAGGAAAACCAAAAGTCCTAAACAAAGAAACAACTTGGCTATAAAAGGAAAAGCATCTTAGACAGCATTTGGCGATCTACCACTCAACCTAAAAGAGGAAGGACACAGTAAATCTCAGTCAAGGACAAAGTAGCACTAGTAATTCATAAAATGAGTAAAAGAAGCATGGTGACTGCCACCCACCCCTGTACTAATACTATTATCTATCCATCTATCTATCTCTCCACTATCACTACAAGAATGACTACCCATCTACATTGTAAATGCTGTATGTTTTTCCCCACAAATAAACAAAGATCAAAGGTCATCAGTGTCTTTTTGCAGGCCTTAGTAGAATAAAACTGAAAAAAAAAACTTGTGAGGACTGCACTAGAAATGAATACAGAGAGTTAGTAGGGTGGTAGGGGAGAGCAGGGAAAGGTCAGAGACAGGAGGCAGTGAGAAGGGAGAGAACAGAGGAGAGTGGGGCAGAAGTATGTCACAGTTTCTCCAAGGAGGCACAGCTTGGAGCTGTAGTCCTCAGTTACAATCAAAATGTACTAACTTTTTGTAAAGAACTGTAGGTATTGGTTTTCTCAATATTTTTTTCTACAACACATCTCGAAATATGTCGGAGGTTGAATGTTTATGACACTGTTCACTTGTGTGTACAAGTAAGTCAATGAGTCCCTGCCCGCTGTAAAGCACTTGGAGTGGCCAACACAGACACAATTAACTTGTCTGGGCTTGAGACTAGCACATACCAGTTTTATACCTGAATTTTAGCTCCACATTAGGAGCCTAGTGCATCAAAGGTGAGGCAACAAAATGATTTTGCTAAGATGGAGCAAGGACAAAGGGGTGTCTTTTTAGTTTACCTGTATAACAAAAGAGTTACGGTGCGAAGCAGCCTACTCGTCTGCCCAGTGCTATTCACGCTTAACATCTTATTCTCTCCAAACAGCATCTGAGCAGCTGGAAGCATAGAACTCATTAAAGCTTCCATGAATCACCTCCGGAGGGCCAAGAAGTGTTCTCTATTAGAAAACTCAAAAATACATATTTAATAAACCAGGAGCGAAATCTGAATGAACAGACAATTATGACATGCAGAGATCGAGGCTCCATTCAGTAAGAATGAGGCAGTAGGATTTAGGATTTAGTGTATGCAATCTGGCCCTCTGTCGCTTAGAGACGCACCAAGGAGGAGAGAGAGTGGGATATGAGTGGTTAGCATTAGCTCTCTTGACCGTAAGCTTCTTTTAGTCATACAATTAGCAACATAAAAATTACCTGCTTAACCCCATCTATTACTTCTAATAGCTCAAGTTATGTACGACCTCAAATGCAAACAGAACTGCTCATGTTTAATTGTCTAATCAAATATTTGTTGTTTTACTTTACTTAAAGCTGCTATCTGTAATAAGATCTATTGCAGGGGACTGAAGCAGACCCTTGGGGGTACTAGCTTCCAGAGGTGTTTAGATAAGGCATGGCTCCACAAGAAATCAGAGGATTGGACAAGAGAGAACGCAGACTCAAGATAGCAAAAAGCAAATATAAACATACAATAATAATTTCTCATCAAATGCTGACATAATAAACTACCACCATTTCCAGTGATGGCAATTTATATGTTGAGCCGATATGTTTCCCAAAAAAAGCCTTGTGCACTAGTATCAGCGGTTGTTTATTGGATGCATGGCGATTCACTAAACATATTTTTTGTGAATCGCCCAGATCAGACTTATGAATATAGATTGTATGACAGAAGAAGACCAGAGACCACAGGTGAGCCAGAACAAAGGTCAGGGGAGGGGAGGGGGGCAGGGGAATAGACTTCACATCTGCCATCTAATGGTGAAAAATAATGGAATAAACTTACAGATAGTAAGAACTAATGTTTTTGTTGTATTTCAAAGCCAGCATTGTTTCACCCAAGATATAATTTTAGCTTAATAATTGGTTCCAGCAGCTGGAGTTCAACACTATGGGAGGTCTTTCAGCAATATATTGAATAATAATCTACACAATAATAACACAGCATTTCATCTGCATATTTGATCGGACAAAATGCCATTGTTTTATGCACTGTAAATTTCTGAAATAAGAAAGACAACATTTCTTCTCTTAGGCCTGTTTTACAGCAAAGTGGATTTGGTTTAAACTATTTGTAGAATAATGACCATGTGCAAATAGTAGAGCTTCATATCAGCAGCATTCCTCTGGAAGAAAGTGGCGCACACATGTGCAGCAGACCAGCTTCAGCATGATAACATTAAACACACGCACCAACGTGGCAAAGACAAATGTTTTTACCAAACACAAACTAAATGTTTAATCTGGCCTTTTTTATTTGGATTTCATCTTCACATTGACCATTATTTAAAATGGAGCTTGGGCCAGGATCAAACTGCATACAAGAGTTAAATTCACTCAACTGCACCTGCCAAACGTGCCCATCTGCCCCAAAAGCAGACAACACACAACCTTCTTACAGCCATTATTTTTCATCTAAGCCTGTCCACCACAAGTACAACCACACATTTATTTTACAGATCACAGGCACATAATCAAATATGCTAGTCAGGTATTAGCGCAGAGGCTAAAGTCAAATTCAGTAGTTGGCAGTTACGAAAGGTTTTCATTCAGTAATTTACATTTTGCAAATGAAGCATTTCATTGTACTTCATTAGATCTTTGGAGGAAGAACATGAGTGTGACTATTATTGAATGGGCAGATGGATTGAATTGTGTAAAATATTTTTTGAAGTCTCTGTAAAGTGACCTGTAGGATTTTTTTTAGACCCATACACCCTTTATATCACTTAACTTCAATCTGAAAAAATGCAACCTTTTTGAAAAGTGTACAAGAATGCCCACTCATTTCAAAACATGTGATTGGATTTAGAAGAGGATAATCCCTCAGAACAAAAACACACAGCTAGGACATTACAATCTGATGGCATTTCCTTAGCTGGACAATTGAAGGTTTGTTGACGAGGCTGCACACTGAGCAAGTTTAACTCAACTCATTTTGTGTAAATTATTGAGGAAAGCACAAGGTCCAATCTATCCACCTACTGCAGAACACAGTAAAGTAGAGCAGAGCTAGAGAAGATTACTTTTTGTAAAACCATGCAAGGACTTCAGCCTTTAGTAGGACAGTAGTTGACTAAAGAAATTCTTGGTTGGCTAAAGACATGTCTAGAATGATAAGAATCTCTAGAATATCTCTAGTATAAAGCATCTTGCAAACATGTCTTCTCAGTTTGGCCATTTCAGGCAGTGCTATAGATTATGTCTACTAGACCAGGTCTGTTCTCTGAGAAGGTATTTTCTTTAGTCATGTATTAATGTTATACATTGGCAGCAGGTAATTTATATGCATGTTAAAATAAAGGCATATACAAACTGTCCTTGGGCCTTTTAGTGGTACGCTCATTTGCTGATCTTATAATAACAACAGTGCAATTAGGAACATGCTACTTCTTTCTTTAATGTTTTGAGTGCATGCTTGCTTAAGAATAATTGTAAACTGCTTGAATCATCTCATCTGTCTGAGTAGAGAGGGAATACTGAATATGGAGTAAAATGCATAAAGGGAACTCTGTGATAAGAAAATGAAGAGAAGAAAGTGTTCCATGTCCGAAACACACACCTACTCTCGACTACTGTGTCTCATTTGCAATTTAATAGAGAAATTATAAAGGCGTTTATGTGGAAAAGGGTAAGGGTAAGGTTGAGGGTAAGATGAGGATAGAAGCTTCATAAACTTTGCAAAAATTACCATATAGACCATTCAACATTATATTCCAGTAAATCAGAGCCTTGCTTAAAAGAAGTAGAAAAAAGTAAAATAGAGTTGGACACCCACAACACATTCGTGTACAAAATACACACACATTGGACTATCAAGAAGGTGCTCAGTTGTGCAAACCAATCTGACATCATGTGTGATAGACAGACCTTCACAAAAGTTGGTTTAATTAATAAATGTGGCTTGTGTCTGAAATGTCTGAAGTGTGGTCACTTAATCTTGCTCTGTTTCATCCTCTTTAATGCCTCAGATTCAAAATAATTTAAAAACGTGAATTTGTTCATCATGGCACACAGGAACATCTCGCCCACATGGACAAATTTTCAACTCTTCTCTTCTACTTCTAGTGCACTTGTTTATTTATCCTGCTCTCTCCCACACAGTGGTGCTGAAGCTGGTATCATGGGTTACATCACAAGTCCCAAAAAAGAAAGCTTCTCCACTTAAAATGAAGGAATAAGGCCACAATCCAATGGCTACATTTCGTCAAAAAGTTACAGAGGATCATCACTATAAAAGTTCACCATGGGAGCCTCGAGGTATTTTCAGTCTGTCATCTCTCAGTATCAAGCTCAACGGCAAAACTGGGATTGAAGGTGTGGCAGTCAGTAAACATACAAATCAACAGCATAATCATGTTTGTACACACTAGGCAGCACATAAGAGGCCACTGAAGTGAAGCAGATGATCTTAGCCTTGGCTTCTACTAAAAATTCCTGAGGTTGGAGTGATCCAGCTTGATCTGAGCAGATCAACACACTGGGAATATTATGCAGCCTAACTTGAGCGTTGGTGTATCTAGTCTTAATATAATTTAAGGCTTGTTGTGACCAGATATTAGGCATAACTCAAAAATGAAACACTGGGTTAACAATTTCTTCTGGCTTGAAAAGGAGTACTGCATCATAAAGCCTAGGTTAAAATTGGGGATCAGAGAAAACCGCATCCACAAAGTGTGTTCTCACCTCCCCTCCGTGACCATCAAAGATACCGAAAATAGTCGGATGGCTTTTGTTGACCACATCCGCAAGCACCTCAAACCTGTCCTCCATGTGATCCCTTCGGCCTTGGATAGAATACACGGCCACGTTGCTGCCCTTTAACTCCCATGTCTTAGAGAACTCAGCATCCAGGATGTCCAGCCCTCCGAATCGCTCATTCTGCATCATCTCCGCCACTTTCCCCTTGACCATCTTGACCGCATCCCGGCTGGACTTGACGATAGTCTTTACTTCGTCCGTGTGGAAGAAGTAACTCCATAGAGCCAGACTTACACACAGCAAAAACAAAGTCTCCGGTCTGAGCAGAAAATAACGCATTATCCGTCCTAACAAAGACAGCAGGGTCATGGTATCCTGTATCATTTAATTAATTAATTGTCTTGCAGGTTGTGAGCCGTTCACCTCCGCCGCGATTTCAGACCATAGTCGTCGGCGTAAGGGGCGAGGATGGAGCAAGTACATTTAACCCAGAGGTGAAACGTCCAGAAGAACACTGCTTCACTGCATTGTATCAGTTGTTAACACGGATGACTTCTTGGGGGTTTGAAGCCAGGGACTAAACGCGGTCCACTGGCTTTTTGCCCCTGCACGGAGCCTCCAGGAGCTGCGGTCCGAACACCACCAGCCAGGAGGAGGAAGCCAGGGTATACGCTATTATACTTCACTGATCACGGTCGACTTGCGTACCTTATGTCCAGCTCCTCGTAACAGTCCCAAAAATAGCGGTCTGTATGCAACAAATCCCACATTCTCAGCTGCCTGCCAGTCACTGCGACTCCGCACCGCCGCTGTTGGACGGGAACACCACAGTGCTGCATTCAGAGTCTAGTGGTAATTTTAGGTTCTCCTATCTGAAAACAAAATTCTGCGCGGGTATTGAACTGTGATTCTTAAGTTTTTCTGTAAAGGGGCTTGTATTAGTAAAGCAATATAACCGCACAAAATATTAGCTATACTATCTATTCGTGTATTATGACTTATTAATTTTACATTTACGTCCCCGTAGACCCTGAATGCATCAACAAAATCCTCTGAACTACAGGTGCATTTACATTTCTATGACATGCGGTCAAAGTCTTCTGTTGTATTAGTAGCCTATGAAATAAATAGCTTGTTTTGTGCCTTGAGCTACATAAGTTATAAATGTTGACATTGTGGGAGGCTAAATTTCTTCTTTCCACGGTCTATTCTTCTTTCTCGAATTATTTTATTCAGGCAGGAGCGGACACACATTTGGGGTCCTTAGTTACGTACGCAAACTCTGACTGGTCTTCTGCGTTGAAAATATAATGGTGGAAAAACGTGGGTGAAGTAAGGATTGAGTGAGTATCTGATTTAAACTTAAATTCAGGGTTGTCACTTACATTACTTTACATACTTAAACACAGCAAGGTTGGCTAGTTATAGCTGCTTGTCGTATGTATTCTTGAAACGGGCATCATCATTATTAAGTGCAATAGATTAGATGGTGCTAGTTCAGCTAACTGAGGCTAACGACTCCGATTGCTTTTAATGTCCACAACAGGTTGTTTCTGCATAGACACAACGTTTCCATTAACCATTGACAATGGAGTATATGCAAGCCCCTGCCACAAGCAGCCAGGGACACATGTAAGTAAAACAGACCTTTTATATTCTACTCAAGCGCCCACTTCCCAATGTGTACTTGTCAACTGTTATGTATTTTCAGCCTCTGCTGTACCTGTGGCGTTGCTATACCTCCAAACCCTGCCAACATGTGTGTGGCTTGCCTGAGAACTCAAGTGGACATATCAGAGGGAATACCCAAACAAGTTACAGTGCATTTCTGTAAACAGTGTGAAAGGTTCCCCATTGTTTGTTTTTATATAAAACTACATCACGACTGAATGTCAGTTATTCAATTGTGGTCTACCATTAGGTACTTACAACCTCCTGGTACATGGGTGCAGTGTGCTCTTGAGTCAAGGGAGCTTTTAGCGCTTTGTCTGAAAAAATTGAAAGGGTCCATGAGCAAGGTAATTGCTTTCATTTAAATCCAGGCATTACATTCATTTTCTATGTGTGGCTGGTTCCTGTAGTTCTGTAATGTTGTCTTCTTCTGGTACAGGTCCGTCTGATTGACGCAGGATTTCTCTGGACAGAACCACACTCTAAGAGGATAAAGACAAAACTGACAATCCAGAAAGAGGTACAAACATTGTGTAAATGAACCAGTGGGTATTCTATTCCTGTTCTTGAAAAAACAAACATAACAAAACGGGTAAATGCAGAGTACTCATCCTTGGATTTACACTTGACTGATTTTTTTTTTTTTTGATGTGTCTGATTGTGTGCAGAGTCTACACCCTAATTAGAATACAATTGCTTGACTTGGACCATACACAAAATGCATATTGAAGGAGACACATGATGATCATGTTATACATGGTTCTTCCTCAAGATTAGCTCATTCTTTTAATTTATATAGAATTTTTGTATATTTGAGGAGACCTATATTCTGCATTTTAAGTCTGAGTACTCAGAATATGTCTTTCACCCACCCCTACCTTCCTAAACATGTGCTTTTGGGTTGAAAGTTATTTGTCCTAGTATTGGGTTGTTTTAGACCAATATTGCAATTTACAGTAAATAAAATTATACATTTTTTAAAAAATATATAAAATTATGAGGTGTAGTTTACTAATTTATTTACTTACTTCCTAATTACCAGGACAAAATGATATGAAGTATTTAAAGCAAATGTGCAAATTCATATATTTTTTTATATTTAGAGTGATTTGTGCATGTTTGAGTATGTTTCATTCTCTTGCATTCAAGACGTTTTAAGATTGCTCATTGCTCGATCTTCCTCTGTTTTCACCGCCACCAGTACACACCCACTGCACTTTACTTACTTTCGTTCTCCAGTTTTATTTTCTTGGTGAAAAACATAGAATACTGTAATGTTGTGTAGTCATTTTGGCACAAATGAAAATAATTTTGCTGTTTGTACGCATGATCTGTGACTGTCCTTTATGTACGGTAAAGGGGTAGACTGTAATCAGTTCCTAATCAATATTGCAACTTAAATTGCCCAAAATACAGCATAATGATCCCCAGATATCATAGACTACAAATATATAGCAGATAAAAGCACACTATGTCTCCTTCACTTTGACTTGAACATTCAGGACTCTATAGTTGGAACACAACACAACGTGTCTTGCTAAAATTGTCATCTTATCTTCTTGAGCTTTTGCTTCACCTCTAGACTTTTGCATGGTCTTGGACCGATGTTTTGAAGCATTTGATTCTTGGTCTAAAACATGCCTATGTTTGCTTCTTCAGGTGATGAATGGAGCCATTCTGCAGCAGGTGTTTGTGGTGGAGTTTGTGGTCCAGTCTCAGATGTGTGATGACTGCCATCGTGTGGAAGCCAAGGATTTCTGGAAGGCTGTGGTTCAAGTGCGACAGAAGGTTATTTTTCTTTTATTTTTATTGTTTAGCCAAGATACAACATTCATTATAGAACTATACTCAGCTGAATACCTTTTGTCCATACAAATAATCAGTTAAAAGGTTTAAAAAAATAAAAAGGAAACTAATTAACTAAATATTGTCAGTTTAATGTATTATAATGACAAAATCTTGTCTTGCAACATTCTCATGGACCTATCTTGTGTCTTGTGTCAATCCTAATTACCACCCGGCATTAATGACTTTGATTTTCCATTCGATTGGAGAATCATACACCAGTTTGGGATTACTTTGTAAATGAATTGATTTCGGTGCTTTACATTTTTTTTGAGTAGCTGATTACTTATGAAATTATGATCTGATTTATAGACCCAACATAAGAAGACTTTTTACTATTTGGAACAACTGCTTCTTAAGCATAAGCTTCACCAGACTGCTCTGAACATCAAAGAAATACATGGTAGGTTTATTAAAAAAAGATTTTCCATGTGGAAAAAAAATTCAAACATGGAGTGTATTATAATTCTCTGAAAACATCTGTAAAGTGTAATTTGTGGATAATGTGTTTTTACTGTACTACAGAGGGAATTGATTTCTACTATGGCTCCAAGCAGCACGCACAGAAGATGGTTGACTTTCTGCAGTGCACCGTACCATGTCGGTGAGCAGAGCATAATTGTGTACTAAACGATGTAACAGATTGTACGGTTGGCTATGTATACATTTACATATATATTTAAAATGATAATATTAATAACTTTCCTGGATAGATTAATGCAGTTATTAAAAATAGATATATTCATGTTCAAAATGTATGTCTATTTTATATTTATAGGTCAAAAACATCCCAAAGGCTCATCTCTCATGACATACATTCAAACACGTACAACTACAAGAGCACGTTTTCTGTTGAAATTGTACCAGTTTGCAAGGTATGTTTATGTTTCACCTGTAAACCATATTTTGTGACATTGTCTGCCCAGCATGCATCCACTAATGCTGACCTTTTCAACTGCTCTCAATAGTGAATTTTGTCTACATAGTTTTAAATGTCTCAAAAATTAAGAAGCTGTACCGTGTGGTAGCTCTAGTATTGATTCTGGATTATCTTTAGTAATGGTTGATTTATGGATATCGGGGGGGGGCAGAGGACATGGTATCTAAATTAGCCTCTTTTATATATTTACCAGGACAATGTGGTGTGCCTTTCGCCACGACTAGCTCAGAGCCTAGGGAACTTTGGTCAAGTGTGTGTCTGCATTAGAGTGACCAGCACTATTCATTTGATTGACCCCAACACCCTGCAGAGTGAGTGCTTATCAAAAATTTTCTTTTGGCTTATTAATTTTTAGAATATAATATATATTTTATATCAAATTAACAAACTGTCCTCTAGTTGCTGAGGTGGATGGTAACACATACTGGAGATACCCTTTCAGCAGTCTCTGTAACCCACGGCAGCTGGAGGAGTTTATTGTTATGGACATCGATATCATCAGAGACCAAAAATTGGGTTCGGGGGCTGGCATGAGGTCTAATAAAGTAGGTCTTAAGATTATTAAGAAAAATATTTAAGTTTAACTTTTTCTAAATTATATTGAACTCATATGGAAACTAAAAGTCACTTAATCCACTGTCGCTGACATAATTTATTATGCCATATAGCACACTTTAGCTGAAGTATGGGTTCAGAAAACTTCTGAGATGGATACCAGTCAGCAGTACCACTGCCGTACTTTCCTTGGCCACCTGCTGAACATTGGAGACCTTGTTCTAGGGTGAGTGTAGTGTGGAATAATATTTTGGTGACTTTGTAGTTAATTATTTTCCTATTACAGGTATGACTTTGCCAATTCCAACATTAATGATGAGCATCTAAATAAAATGAACCCCCATCATGTCCCAGATGTGGTAAGGATAAGAAGTTTGAACTGAGTTGTTGTGTGATTAATAGTAATGTTTTAGAGTGTTTATCTTTATCATACAACCTGTCCTAGGTGTTAATAAAGAAGAGCTATGATCGCACAAGAAGGGTAAAACGCAGGAACTGGAAGCTGCAAGAGATGGCCAGAGACAAAGAGGGCATGGATACAGATGATGAGCGGTAAGAAACAAACTAAGCCTTCTGGGTCAAACAGAATTACGATTAGCCAGGTTGCTTTTCGAAGGGGTTCAGTAAATCTCCTGGACTGAGGGAGTGGCTCTGATGGCTCTTGCTGAAAGAGATCGACAATATTTGAGGCTGATGGGATGAAGCCATACAGGCTTGTCAAAGCCTGACCACATCAAATCTCAGAATCTAAGCAAGGCCGGGCCTGGTTAGTACTTGGATGGGAGATCACCAGGAAAATCAGGTGCCACAGTGGGGCATCAATGGCAAAAACTGTTGTGTCCTTAGGCAAGACATTTCACTTGTGTGTGTGTGTTGGTGGTGATGGCGCAGATTGGCAGCCTTGCTTTTGTCAGTCTGCCCCAGGCAAGCTGTGGCTACAATAATAGTAGCTTGCCACCACAAAGTGTGGAGTGAAAGACCCATGAACTGTAAAGCACTTTGGGAAAGGCGCTATATAAATGCAATAATTAATTAAAGCATCACAACAATGGGACAAACTGAGAAATCACACTTTTGTTAGATCTAGTTGAAAGAAAAGCACAGACATCTTTCCCTCCACAAATGCAAATGGTCCATATTTTTCCAATAGGAAACCTCACTACGTTTGTTTTGTTTTGGGTGCTTCCCACTCACACAACAATCTCCAAACCACTGGAACCCTGTTGGCCTGGTTGCAACAACTGCAGCCTGGTCGGCTGTATTCTCCTGAGTTTATGAACTCATGAAATTGCAATGCATTACCTTTTTCTGTCTTTCACTTTTTTTCAGGCAATACCAAGACTTCCTGGAGGACCTTGAAGAAGATGAAGCACTCAGAAAGAATATAAACATATACCGAGGTTGGAAACTAGACTTATAACATTTTATCTAAATGATTATGTATTATAAATGATAAGGAAATGTGTATCAGGCTATGATATGCTTTCATCATCTTTATGAAACTAAACAGTGTAAGCAACTGAGAAATTTGATGGCTATTTGTGTAATTTTAGATGCTTCAAAGATTCCTGTTGAGAGCGACACTGATGACGATGGAGCACCACGCATTTCCCTGGCAGAGATGCTGGAAGAGCTGAGCCTGAGCGATGCAACAGGAGGAGAGGGAGCTGACATGATGACGGACTAGAGTCATCATGGCCAGAGCCCACAGCAAGTAACTGGTTTCAAGAGTGGGACATTTAGCGCAGGCAAAACTATTAATATTGGTATTTGTCTACAGGTAAATCCTGTAAATTATCATATTCACTATAGATATTGGCTAAATTCGTATATATAATACATTTCTATCTCTTTAAATCATGAAAAGTATCATGAAGAAATGTTCAAGTAGTCTTACAGTTGTTTATCAAGCAAGATGATAAGAACATAACAAAAAAATCAAATCCACAATGTCCATTGCATGTACATCAAAAAGTCACCAGGGGGAGCTAGTCACCTGGACATTGTAATGACTCTTATGATCTGCATTAATAATAAATGGAGCCAAGACATTTTGTATTTTTCCTATTGAATTTATTTTGTAAAGCCCAAAACCACAAATGCAGCTGCCTCTTAACAAGGGTTTAACAAGCTTGTCATTGGTCAATAAGAGACATACAGTTTAACAAACCTGGGAAACAAGCAAATAACATGAATATGCCCTGTCCTTAAACTTTTTCACTGCAAAGTAAAAAAAAAAAAAAAAAAACAATGGGGGGAAAAAAACCTTTTGGAGAACTACAGTGAATGAGAGATCCACTCCCATGGATGGACAGGCTACAGATGTGCCCAGGTTGTCACTTTTAATACTGTGGGAAAGGTGTTCATTCAGAGACAATTAAAGATTATTGTAGTTTTATATGTTTTGCAGCATTTGTTGGGCCATGCAGCCTGGACTGTATGATAATCTCTAGAATCCATATTCCTTTCAGTTTTGCAATTTAACAAAAGTGAAGCCATTTGTTGACTGTATAGTCATATGTGTTAGGTTCTTGTGATTTTAAGTGTAATTGGATCTACTTGGGAAAGTGAGTCAAGTTGGTCCCTTGGGTGGGTGTGTCAGTGGGACTCAACAATACGTGAAGATGGGATTCTCCTTACCTGTCAGCCCTACCCTCCAACCTGTTTTTTTCACCACCTTTCAAAGGACACAAACTCCACCCCTTTAACCACTTATTCTCTTACACATGCAGTTGTACACTTTAATACTCATAATCACAACTGAATGCTTTATTGACATGGCATGAAAATACCTCGGCCTCCCACAAAAATTAGGTATACATGATGCTTGTATGAGACATCAGTGTTTTCTTTTGCTTACATTGCTGCTCAACAATGCTGTGTATCCGGGGATAACCTCTGCTATTGCGGCACTGGTCGTGTTTACACATAAATAATGCACAGCTCGTCAAGAGTATGAACTGAGCAGGTCAGCAGAGTTTGGAGAGACAAGGATAATATTTACAAAACAAAATTCTGTTAATGCAAATTCCATAGTAGTTGTTAATAATAAGTAGTTGTTAATAATACTAGTTATTATTATTTATTATTATTAATAATAAATGTAGTCTACCAGTATTTCTTTTTACGACAACATTTAAAAAAACAAACAAAACAAAAAAAAACCACACAAATAGGCATGCTGTGGGGCCTTACTGTGTTGTGCAGTGGAAGCGGTGCTTCTGATGCAGTGTGGCACAGCAGACTGCTGCTGTCTACGTCATAGGACGAGATGAAACTGCGGCGCAGCGCGTGCCGGGCTGCAGCACCGCGGGACTAGGGACGGATGCGACATGGGTACCACTTCTACCGTCCTTGCCAGATGTATTGGCTATGGATAGGGCGAACAGTGTCCCTGAAAACATGCAGATATGCAGCATGCGTGTAAATGACCGCTTGGAATGTTGGGTCTGACTCGTGCGTCTATCTGATGTCCACCTGCGTGAAGAGGGTGAACAGTGTGAGCAGGTGAGTGGCAGCATGAGTAGTGGGTGTGTCATACTGCGTGGCTGTAGGCTACTACATATAGGCCACAACAAACTGGCGAAACAGCTTTTGGTTTACACAAAGCAGGGGAGCAACAGTGAAGCCTGTACGGGCTGCTGTCTGCACTCATCCCGTTACAATCATCAATAGGCTATTTTACAACCAGGGACTTTGCGGCGACTGAGGTGAGTCAATAAACGATGTAGCTGGATATCTTATTATAGACCTGATTGTATTATGGGGGATAGTGTAGGGGGATAATGTTGGGTAGTGTAGGCTGGTATATTATGGGCAGTGGATACGGTGATTCCTGGCCATTTAACTTATAACTCAACTAAATGCTCAAGTTGTGTTTTTTTAAATGCTGTCTAATTTCTACATTCTGGAAGAAATTATTAATGTGATAATAAACCGTCTTACTGAGAGTAGGAAACATTCTGGAAACCCTCATCAAAACCTGTAGCGCGCACCTGAGAGCTACGCCCCCACGTCAGTCTGTTGCTGCCTGAGGCTATGCAAATCATAATCAAATGTTTAAAAAAGAAAGAAAGAATACTGTTATTCTTATTATCTTCAAGTAAAGTAAGAAAAGGTAAGGTAAAGTAGGATACTAGAAAACCCCTTCAGAGTAGACCTAACTAAAAGTTAAATAGTATGAATAATATACCATACAGCAGTAGCCTATAAACTACATAGGCTTGATAGCCTATACCATAGCGCTTCTTAGGTGGAAAAACGGTGCTCATTAATGTTTACTATACATCCCATGTGATTTTAGTCTAGGCGAACCCTTGGGCTTAATTTCATTAGGTTTCATTTCTCATGCACACATCCACTGAACCTGTATGATTGCCCCCACTGGGCTGTTTTGTGGGGGCGGAACGGAGGAGGGAACTCTTAACCTAGCTTGTTATTGTTCACTCCATTCTATAGAATTTAACAAACCACATATAACTGTAGTTTTTTTCCAGTTGTCTCTACTTTAAAGGACCATTGTTTGATTTACATCTGTGGATACCGTTACCACTAATAATGAAAATTTTTGATAATCTGTGTTCAAATTACACATAGTCCAAACATGTCAGCAACCAGCATTTTAATTAAACGAATCTGACTTTTTTTTTCATTTTGTCTTGTTTTGTTTGTGTTTTTTGCAGCAATGAATTTCAAGAACCTGAGGGAATACCTGGCCTGGCTGTACTACCAGTACCTCCTCATCACTGGTATTTACGTCTTGGAGCCATGGGAAAAATCCATATTTAACTCTGTCCTCTTCTCTGCTATCGCCATGGTGATCTACACTTCCTATGTCTTTGTGCCCATCCATGTACGACTGGCACTGGAGTTTTTCTCAGGTATATTTGGGGGTCAACCGGAAAGCACTATGGCACTGATGAACTAAAACCAAAACAAGAACACATGGGTAAAGCTTAAACTGTTCAGACAACCTTGTATCATGACAAAGCCCTTGAACACAACTCATTGTTTTCATTGCGATAAAACCATGAAGTCATGAAGAATTGAAATGCCTCAACCTCTGGACAAACCTCTGTTCATCTTGCTCTATCCCAGTGTCTCATTGTTTAACTATGTTGTGTCCTGTATGAATGCACCCCATGTTTTGTGCATGATAAGGACATTTGCATTTCATCTTGCTCATCCACTCTGAAGCAGTTGTCCCAGTTGTGTCATCTATGTATATCTGTGCAGACAAATGAATGACCATGATCACTGATAACTGATAACAAAGTTTCCACATCCTCATCCCATATCACCACACACTTACATTACTAAGTAAATGTTTTTGTATCAAAAATACTTACAGCATTGCTGTGAAGCAGGCAGGGCACACTTGCCTATGCATGATTGTTTTGTGGTTTATTCAAAGTAGTGTCATGCATACAGGCCTACAGATTGTTGTTATGCAAAGACCAAAAACTTATGTGGATCAAGGATTTCTGAGACTCTTGTATTTGTCCCAAGTTTAAACTGTTTTCCTGTTCAAAGCGAGTAATAGCCCATAGAAATCACATTGATTTGTGCAGTGCCGAGCCCTCTTTATCTGTAATCAGTAAAGTCTTGGTATGTTGGGAAGGTGTGACAGCACTGAGCAATAGCAAATATTGATACACCACACCTTTGTATTGAAGGCCTGACATCAGATCTAGTGTAAGGTAACTGTTTTTTTTTTCATGTTTATTGTGGATGACAGCAGGAATCCCTTCCTATAGTTGATCTATAGGTGCAAATGGAGTATGTATTATATTTTGTGTTTGCCGAATGTGGTGAGCATTTTTTAATTGTTTTGTTTTTTACTCTGTTACGCCATAATGTTAGGTAAGTTAACTTTATTTATGGATTCAAATATTTATAAACTGGTAAATGCTTGGCTGGTTACAATGTCAATTACCTAAAACAATTATTGTAAACGTATGTGTATGTGTTGTGTTTTCCTGGTCTCCAAAATAACAGTCTTTACAAAATACAGTTCCTTACGTGCTTCCTAAAAGTATAATTTACTCATCCTGTGTCACATGCACATAAAATTTTACATTTTTGTAATAAAAACTATCTCTCTTTAAAGTCATTCTTTGTCACTGCTTAGTAGAGCTTTTCATTTTCAGAAACAAATAAAAACACTGGAAACAAAGATGTCATTGTTCTTCCATCTCTACTTAAAGTACAGGAACTAATTTATGAAAGAGAAGACCACAAGAAACAAGAGCTTTTGATGCACTTGACATGGAATGTGATAGAACAATGAAAAAGTGAAGCCACCAAACCAGTTCTCCTCAGACACCATAACAAATGTCCAGAGGATTTGGTTTCTCCCAAAGAAATATCCAGCCGCTGAACTGCCTATTGTCCCCAATCACAGACACAAAGCTATCATATTATTATAACTATATTTTGATATTTTTAAATAGAAATTTTACTGTCAATTATACAATACCTGAGCACATTATCACCTGCAGCAGAAGAATTGCATGTAATCCTACACCACTGAGTTGTTTTAGTATCCAGGATGTAGGAGGACAATTGACTAACACATCTCACATTCCACAACAAGCCTGTTTGTGGAGTTTGTACCTACAGTTGGCAGAGATGTTTATACTTTTCATGTAGGTTTGTGTCCCATGAAGATGGGGGTCAAAGGTCATCTCCTGAGTGAAGAGATAAACAAAGACACAGACAAGAGGGTCAGAGTTGTTGTTGTGTTTGACCTGACAACTGTCAAATAGACAAGCAGAAACGGTGTGTCAGCTCTGTTACCAGACTGAGAGTCATCTTACAAGGAAAGCCCAGAAAACGCTGAATTATTCATGAGACAGAACAGAACTCTTTCCCTTTGGGTCTCACTGTGACAGTCACAAGTACATGTGTACCACTATGAACACGAGAGCTGCATTTGTCCAGATATTAAAGTATTTTCCAATTGTTCCTATTTTAACATCAAATGAAACTAACTTAAACTTAGACAAGGGAAATTATTTGGACACAGCAACAATATATCATAATAACAAATAGCAAAAATATAATCTTTAATAATTAATTCAAAATAAGTAGCAAAAATAACAAGAGACTGGTGTCAAACAAGGTATAATTATATAAAAAGTATATGCACATGTAAAAATAAATTATAATAATACAAATATATCTCAACTATACAAGAGGTCATAAGAGGAAATGGTGAAAAAATGAAATAGTGATTGACATGATAGAAGGTTATTTTTTACATAAGTGTGAGTTGTATATTTCATTGGAGTATGGTTTGTCCTGCATCTTTCGAATGTGGTCCTGTATCTCTCGGACTACACTCGAGACCACACGATACATACATTAAATGTCATTAGGTGACTAACCTAGACCTTTGACTTGACTATTACTTTGACTATTACCTTATTGACTGCAATAAGTATTTTTTCTGTTTGATTTTGAACAGGACATATGGTGTAGTCGGTAGGTCAATAGAAACTGACATTTGCGGTTCAAAGTTTGAGATGACACTGCATGATCAGAGGCTTGAGAGGAGACATTGTTTGCTTTGCTGGGTGTGTGTATTTTGCGTGAATGTTTCAATTGGACCTTACTCAAACACACTTTTATTGTTGTTTCCTTTTGATGTGATTGGGAAATATACATATATATATATATATATATATATATATATATATATATGAAGTGCTCAGGAAGTGCTTGACTGGAATAATTTGGATTATTTCAGTTCTGTAATTGACAACCTGTACTGAATTAAAAGTAAAAGGTAGCTGTTAACTTGATAAGTACAGCTTCATGACATCACAAGGTGGAACAGAGCATTTTGAGCTTTGAAGATGTAGACACACAAATAATAAAGGATCAGGACCCAAACATGTGTAAATGAAACAAAACACAACTCCAGGTATGGTTTTGATGAGGTAGCAACTTTCTAACATGGCTAAAAGCTCACAAGAGGGCAGTTTGTGTAATAAAAGACCTTTAAATTCAGTTAAAGTTCATGACAATAAGGAAATTGTCTTATCAAGCAAATGCCCACACATTAAGCAAACAATATGTGGGTTTTAAACTGGATTATGGTGAAGTGATTTGCAAAGATAATAAAATTGCAAGACTACTGTTGGAAGCACTGAGCAAGATTAAGTGGCAGACCAGTTCAAATCATTGTGCAATATGTTGTGCTGTTCTTTGTTCAGAATGAGCATGGCCCGGAGGTATGATTTTCAGTTCACAAAGCTCTATCAAAGTTAAGTATCAGTCAATATGAGCTGAGGAGTGGCTGTTCTGATAAAATTTGAGCTCAGCTAGGCATAAAAAAAACCTTAACATAAAACACACCTTATCAAAATGTGTTTCTTTAAATTTGAATTTGAAAATTGTCTGTGCACTGTGGCAGAATTGAGTTAAAGTCATGAGATGAACATTATCTTTATCTTGCAAATTCTAACTTAAAAATATAATAGTAGTGAAATATAAGTAGTCCAACGCAGTAAGAGGAATTTTGCAAGGATAGAATCAGACTTAAAACCAAGGCTGCCCTCAAGTGGTAAAATAATAGTGCTGCAACATGCCCTCTTGTAAACATACTTAATAGTTTTAAAGGTGCATCGCGTAACTTTTCAGTTGAGGGTCTGTCACCTTCTTGTTTGTATGGATACGTCACTGCTCTGCTTCAAATATTCCATGAAACAGCTCTACTTTACATTATTCAATTACAGGTGGTTTTATTGTTCAAAAATATCTAGGAAAACAGGCATTCTGACCAAGAACGGGGTTGCCTCGCCACAAATCTGAGCTGTAACTTGGTCTGGTTTGGTCTCCATGAAGATAGAAAAGTTTAATACCATACTGTGAACCATTCCAGACAAAGTAATAACATCTCCACAGAGAAAAATATTTGACAGATCCTCCACCAGAAAAGTTATACAATGTACCTCTAATTTAGAAATTTACTGAAGACGCAACAAACCGTCCTTACTAACACAACACAGGTAGCATTAAGTAACCAACTAAAAAATAAAAGTGACAACAGGACAAAGCAGTGTCAGAAGAGGGATCATATGAATTTAAAACATAATATAAATAAATAAATAAAATATATTTTCAAACAAAGAAATATGTGACATAATGTTCAGCAAAAAATACAAATACTTGCTATTGAATCTAACAAAATGCATCCAGTGAAAAATGTATTCCAATAAATTACAGAAGGCTACCTAAAGATTGTACTTATTGCATACAGTACTTTTACTTTTGTTCTTTGTTCCACTGAATTTAATTGAATATCTAACAAAAGACAGAGGTATGCTACAACACCCTGTTCTGTCTAATTATTACGTTTCTATTTGCCCACTAATGTATAACTTGTAAGGGGGTATCAAGTTGAAAAGACATCTGTGTGCCACTGTCAAGGAATCTTTGAGGGACCAGGAAACTGAGGAGACATACTGCTTTTATTTATTTGAAGTAAAAGATGGACATTTGATCGCAGAGGGAATGTAGAGTGAAAGGATCTTTACTTGTGCTTTCTCAGTGGTTGGTGAGTCGGGGTCATGTCAGGACAGTCAGTGCGTTACATATAGAGGTCAAGCTTTGTCTGTAGAGGGACATATCCGGTGGCACAAGACACAAAGCCTGTGCAGACACATTTTAAGGACAGACTGTGGGATTGTCAAGGAAAAAGAGGAGTTTCTTATGTGGGGAGGAGCCATGTATGTTAGAAATTAAATGGGTGGGCAAATGTTTTGTCTAAACTAGTGGTTCTCAAACTTTTTTGTTTTAAGTACCCACTAAGCTTAGTCTCATAGCACCCCCCTCACTTGTGGAATAGTGATTATTTAGTAAATATAAATCTGTTAACTCATCAATCTGAATTATATATTTTTGTTGTTTTAATAATACAAACAGTCCTAAAGTACTACTAACTAAAAATAACATTTCATATTATCTGTTGTGGTTATATTTCCCCACCATTCAATTTATCCCCTGATAAGTGCTTCCCTGGTTGGGAAAAATCTAGGATCTATGACCTAGGCCACCAGTTCTCAAACATATCACACCAACTTTCACATACATTTATTTGAAAATATCTGGCATTCTGAGAAAGATTAAATGGGAGTATAATAGATCTAATCTCAGGCTCATATTAATGTTGAATGTGCTTCTAAATACTGGCATATAAAGGAGACCAAAACATTTACAAAAGTTGTGATTGAACTCCTGAACATATGATTGAACTCCTGTCCAGACACAAATGATGAATGCAGAGCACTCACACAGCATCTGCATAGTTTGAAAACCACTAATCAGAATAATACTGAGAATGAAAATCCCCTTTTTTTAACCTTTCTGATGGTAGGTCTGTCATCTGCCTTTCTCCATTCAAAATTGGAAATTGCATTGCTTTGGCTGAAATATTCCACTATGTAAACCTAATCTAAAAATACCTTGGAAAATATGAATTCTGTGACTGGACTTGCCTCTTCACAGAACTGATATTTAACTTTGGTGGCATCACCTGCTTGTGTCCATGGAGATATACTTTGGTTTAATGGCATATTGCAAAACATTCCAGGCAACGCAACTACATCTCTATACAGACAAACAGGTGGGGGACCTCTTCTTGCTCCAAAGAAACCCTCTTTGCAAGAACAGGGTAAATGTAAGGTAATACAGCTCTGGGCTCCGCTGCGCTCCTATAGTGGGTTAAGTGTGCCGTGTGAGTGGATGAGGTTCGGCCTGGTGCCAGTGTTGAATGAACAGACAGCTGAGTGGGGCCTGAGTCCACTGTAAGATAAGCACTGCTGTTGTGTGGTCTGAATGCAGCAGAGGCAACAGGGTCAAGACTGGAAGGCCCCTATAGGAACAGCTTTTCGCATACGATTACACCTTCTCAACACATCTCCAACTATGCTCTATGTGGCCACATTGTATTTCTCAATCTATCTATACTCAGCAGACATACAGTACAGAGAAAGTAAGTCTATACAAACAGATAGACAATTTACATGGCACTTAAAGGAAAAATGTGCTCACTTCACTTACTTGGCTATGGACCTGATTCAAGATCACAAATCTCATTTCCCGTCTTCTTTCTGCTCACTCATAGCTGGACATGGATCTCTCTGAGGGGGTGAGGTCTTTGACAATCCAGGCATGTCCACTTCTCAAACCTTCATTGTCATGGACAAGTCGAGAGTGCAGACCAGACAGCTAGCAGAAAATCACCAGTCCTAAAAAAAAACTGACACTATCTTGTTACACTATGAGAGCGGGTCATTGTCCAGTGGCGCTGCATGGATCATAGAGAAACGTGACTGCAGTGGTCAAGGGAGCATTAAAATCACAACCAGAATGTGGTGAGTGAGAAGTTTATCAGGACTTATCTCAGCTTTTGGACATCTAAGGTCCACATGATGAGACGTATGTATTTATCAAGTAGGCTATTAAGTCTTTGCACCTGATGATGACAATCATAATAATAATGCACTGGATTCATATTATGCCTGCCTTTCCCTACACGCAAAATGCTTTACAGTGCATTATTCATTCACTCCACTTTAAGCGGTGTAAGATTCTATTGTAGCCACACCTGTCCTGGGGCAGAGTGATGGAAGCAAGGCTGTCATTGTCCTCTCCAACCACACACTCAGGCACATATTAAAACGTAAATGAAATCTGTGGTATCCTCCTTCAGCACAGCTTCATCTTTACCTGGCTGTGCAGCCTGGCCAGCGGCTGCTGGGCACTGTGGGCAGTCAGTCAGTTGAATGTTGGTGCAGTATCAGGTGACCCATTGCCCCGCGGCCTTTGCACCTCACCTGCTCGGAGCTAGAGAGTGCTCTGGACGGCTGCTGTATCCTGTGTCACAAAAGCACCTTTCTACACAACAAGGCTTCAGAGAGCGGGCCACAGCACACTGGTTCTCCCCGGGTCAGCTCCAGAGCCTGTAGTTGGGTTTCAGACCTCCCCCTGCACCTCTAGCAGACGCTCATTGGTGGGGCTGTGCAGGTGGCCCGAGCCTGGTAGACATATGAGTGAGACCAGGAGCTGCAGGCACCATCACTAAAGAGGACAAATGACTGTGGCACTTATGCATCGCAGGGTGAGTCAAACATAATCATGCATTTTCAGCTTTTGTTCTGTTAAATGAATGCATGCCGTTTTAAATATAATACACTATATAGACATATCAGCTTGAATGGAACTGTAAATGTGTGTAACTTGATAAATGACAATGATGTGAATGAAATATTGTCTAACTGCAGTGAACCATGAGGATTGTTCGATCCACACTTGTGGTTATTCTGGTCATTCTCACGGTGGGCTTCTGTGTCGAAGCTAAAACTACACCAAAGCCTAAATACCAGTACACCAAAAAGCCAGCTCCACAGGTGACCATGCCCAGTCCTGTCACTACCAGCAAGCCCAAGACCCTGAAAATAGTAGTGACTCCCAGCCCTCCACCAGCCCACCCACCACCTATCATGGAGGGGACGGCCTATCCCGGCCATGCTTATCCTCCGGACTATAACAGTCACACTGAGATCCCCGGGGCGGCCCCAGACAACTACACGATGGACTATAATGAATGCTACTTTAACTTCTGTGAGTGTTGTCCCCCTGAACCTGGTCCTAGAGGGCCAAAGGGAGAACAAGGCTTGACAGGTACAGTAGCTCTGTCTATTTTAGTTGAATTCAGAAAGTTATTGTAGTATTTTATAGTTTCTATGATTAAATCTAGGTGCACAAGGGGAGCGGGGACTTGGAGGGTCACCTGGTTTACCAGGACCACCTGGAATAAGCGGTCCCATCGGCCTTAAGGGAGACAAAGGTACTCTCTGCTAGCACATCTGTTCATGGAAATACATGATATTGTTGTACTACTGTATATACTATACTACTACTGTATACTGTGGTCAAATTTTTAGGGGATAAAGGTGACAGAGGGAACAGTGGTCCAGCAGGGTCACCTGGGAGTCTAGGGAAACCAGGACAAAAAGGTAAATATTTATTTCATTTCATTGTTTTAGATTTTATATTTTGTTGATTGACTGGTCCTTCTTCATAGGTGAGGTTGGCTCGAAAGGTGAAAAGGGTAACGTTGGACTACAGGGGGTCAAAGGTGAAGTTGGTGCAAAAGGTGAGCCAGGTATAAATGGGACAGCGGGAGAAAAAGGCGAGCCAGGCAAAGAGGGTCCTCCGGCACCTGTTGGCCCTGGGCTTAAAGGAGAGAAAGGAGACAAAGGTGAATGTGGCACATTTGGAGAAAGAGGTCCTAAAGGTGAAAAGGGTGACGCAGGACCTGCTGGGGTTCACGGTCCCATGGGCATCCCGGGAACCAATGGTAAGCATGGTATCCCTGGTCCTGTCGGAGTCAGAGGGGATCCAGGAATTCCTGGACCCAAGGGTGAACCAGGGTTAAGAGGTCCCCAGGGTCCCCCGGGGATGAGGTTTCCTGGACCCAAGGGTGACAGGGGTTATCCTGGCATGAGAGGGGAGCGAGGCATGAGAGGTTTTAAAGGAGCAAAAGGCACTAGTATTGTCCTGAGACGGTCAGCCTTCAGTGTGGGCATCTCTCCTAGAAAGTCCTTCCCTCCCTCTGGATTCCCTATTCGCTTTGACAAAGTCTTTTACAATGAGGACAACCATTTCAACATCACCACTAACAGCTTCACATGTGTCTACGCTGGGGTGTATGTGTTCTCTTTCCACATCACTGTCCGTAATCAGCCTTTGAGGGCCACACTGGTGGTGAATGGCTCTCGGAGAGTACGGATCCGGGACTCCCTGTATGGGCAGGACATTGACCAGGCCTCGACTCTGGTGGTTCTGCAACTAAATGAGGGGGACCAGGTGTGGGTGGAGACGCTTAGAGACTGGAATGGGGTCTATGCTAGCACTGAGGATGACAGCATCTTCTCTGGATTCCTGCTTTACCCTAACAGTGTCTGAATATCTATGCTATCTCTCAAAGCCAAATATTGAGTATGCTACTTAGGGTCTGCTTGTTTTGTACATAGAAAGATCATTTTCCACTGAGATCTGTTAACGGTATAATTTTTCCATATTACCTAATGTTTAGCTGAACAACATGATAAATGTTACTTTAATGTCTGTATTTTAACAGTTTGTACAGTCACTGGTTAAATGAACAATCCCATAAAACCGTTTAACAAAACAATGAGTGTGTCATGTTTTACTAACACAGAACAAGTGGCAGTTTCAACATCTCTTGTTACAAAACTTCTCTATTATGTAAAAATTGAGTATTTTATGATTGTGAATAATGAGTCTTACCCTGAACTTGTCACATCCTGTTCTCTTCATCAATTTCTTGCATCACTCACCTATTTTTTTATACATGTATATCCAAATATTTGATGAAGATTTAAAAAATCAGTGTTGTATTGTTTATAATATAATAACACACATGATATATAAATGTGATGTGCAAATTTTCTATGATTATGAATATTCTATGATGTCTCAATAAAACTATTTAAAACTATTTATATTTAAAAAAAAGACTGTGTACATGGATGACCTTAAGAAATAAAAAGAGACACACCATGCTAGGGAGAATATTTTGCAGTTCAAGATAAGTAGTTTATTAAAGAGTTTTAAACAATTGGAATGAAAATCAAAACCCAACTTGGAATCAGTTAAAAGGTTTTAGGCTCACTCCACTGGGTCAGTCCCAGCTGAGACACCACGGCTTTGCATTTGAACGTGCCCCTTATCCTCTCAATCAAATGGTAGTTGTTAGTAGTTGGGGTTCCAAAACGGTTGTTGTTGATGTAGAAATAGTAGAGGACAGGAGGAGCAGGTTCAGGAATATTGTAGTCAAGCACACATATGAGCTTAAGTTTAGACAAAGTACGCATCTCCTCATCATCGACAATAAACAAAGTGGGCTTTGTCAGAGGCTCTAAAAGAGAAAAGAAATGATTAAGAAAACTGATAGAAATTGTTGCCCTTCACAGCCATTTAGACCCTGTCCCGTGTCCCACATAAATGACATACAAGAGTCAGACTTACATAGGAAACATGATAACATAAATTTTGGGAGGGTCCTGTCTTTCTGAGATGTAATATGATGTGATCTATTAGTATTCAAAGCTCTGTGTTTTAAGAGCTAAATGTTGAAAATTACACAGTTTTATAGTAGCCTGTAATCTGTCAACTACTATATATATCTAAATTCATCACATCTTTTCCACCATGTCCCACTTTTACTACCGTTTGAGGTGGTCATCCTAGACAGAAAATTAGTCATATTTCCAGATAATTTTTTATCTTACCTACAACTTGGACTGGCACTTGAGCTGAAATGACTGAATGTGTATGGCCATTTTTATTCCAGGATGCTCTGCAGGTATACTGGCCCCAGTCCTCAAGAGTCAAATTTTTCAGGATAAACTTGGGATCCTCTTGTTCTAAAACTTCCACATCATTTCGATAAAGGATCACCTCATGAATGGGATAGTTGCCTCGGACACGGCACGTCATGTTCACTGGGTACCCAACAACACCCTGGGATGGTGTGTCTAAGACAGCCCAGCCCCCTAGACAAAAAAGTTATATTGACATTGAGTTATATATTGAGTTATATTACATGTTATAGTCATACATGGTGTATAAAAAGGTCACACGTGGTATGGGTGGATCCCTATTTATCAGGGGTCACATGTACACACCCTTGAACGTAAATTAGAATGCATTCCCCTCATAGTGATGTAAAAAAAAAAAAGGCTTAATATATGTGTTTTTTAGATCTAATATTTCAAGCTTTGTTTAATTATTTTTTACTAATATTCCCTTTAAATAAACATAATATGTTTTCTATAAAAACCCTCACTATGGTTGGTCAAAGGTGATTATAGCTGTATCTATATACAGTATGAATATCATTACAACTTACCGTCTACATTGATCTCTACTGGCACACTGGGGATGGTAGGTATGTCTTGAACACTTGTGTCTCGGGTACCTTGGCAATAATACTTCCCACTGTCTTTGGTCTTGATGTTGCTCAAAACCAGTGTTTGACTAAAATGTGGGAGCTGTTGGGGTCCATTGTACCAGGCGAAGGTCCAGGTTGATTTGTAGGGAGTAGCAGGAGGAATGCATTTAAGTTTCACTGTCTCGCCAGTGAAGACCTTTGAATGTCCCGTGATTATCTCCACTGTGGGCTGATAGGATATTGCATATGTTAGAGGGTCTGTAAAAACACACATAAATCATGTTTTCAAAATGTCAAAATAATTTTATGTATTCATATAAAATGCTGATGGTCTTTTCAGTGGTTTGGTACTCACTTTTCCAGTGTATGAGCAGCACTGTAGAAAAAACTAAATTAGAAATAATTGTAGGTTAATATCATACAAAAAATGAATGTATATACAATAGATCAAACTCACTGAGAAGTGAAGACATCCGATCCATTTTGATGAATCGTTAAATGTGTGAAAAGAGGTTGTTTTGCAAGGTGCTGAGGGAAGTGAAAATGATTCCATCATACAAATCCTTTGCTCAATCTGACCCACCCATTGCATGTAAGTTCACAAACACTTTTTGTGAATCTTGTGAACATTTTACCTTAAATCATAATTAGAAACTAGAGCTGTGCAAAATGACAGTAATAGATCTGTTTGTGAACTGATCCCTGTCACAGTATTGTCATATTGTGATTCAGTGCTTCTAAGATTTGCAAAGCATTATTTATTTTATTTATGTCTGCAAATTAGATTGTAATATAACCTATTTAAAAAGAATACTCAGCAAAATATAGTCTGATACCATTTTGTTTTGTTTTTTATTAATTGTCAGCACACACCCATAGATGCAAATAAACCAATACTGCCCCAATAAGTTACATTTAAATAGAAGACAGTATTGTTTTTCCATGTCATAAACCTATAAGGTTGCAAAGATAAAGTTCAAAACTTAAAACATCGCATAAATGGCTTCTGCATACAGTGCAATACATTTATTCAAGCGGTTGTTAAAATCTGGATTCAAATCTTTTTGTCAAATTCAAAGTGGACATACAATACATATACTGACAAAAAGAAGAAAGTGAAATAAATGTAACACAAGTTGACAGTACAGTTCTGTCATTAACAGTGAGATCCTTAAGGTTCCTTCATTTAACAAATCTCAAACAAGAGAATGTGCCAATGAATAAATAAATTGTAATTTTGTACAAACGACAACTGAAATGTGAGGTCTGGAGCACTGTCAGATCTGATATATGACTAAATGTCACAGTTATTGCATCAAAAAGAATCAATAACCTGCACCTTATAGAAAAATAAAATGAATTTTAAACACCCATTTATGACTAGAGTTATAGGTGTTGCATCAACAAGACTACTGTCATACATTGGGGGTCCCTATGGATTCAAGAAACAAATGGGAAAATGTCCATACAACAGAAGTGCTATCACACAAACCTCCACTCCCTCCACAGTGAGCGGATAGATGCACAGAGCATGGGTCACAAGAATGAACTACTTCTTTTCAGGGGCAAAGGGAAGTTACTGAAAAAATTGGAACTTCTTCTTTCTCAAAAAACGAAAGTACTTTCAAGCAAATGTCGCAGTTTGCCCTGATGAAGTGAAAGGGCCAAAATGTGTTGGCATAATTTTTTTTATCTGCCATGTGGTAATAAAGGCTTTTAATTATTCTGTACTTTTTGTGTGCCCCAGCTTTTTTAACTTTGTAAATGTTGTTAATGACTTAAAACAAAGATTTTTATAAAAAGTATGATTTTTGCCAGGATCACTGCTAAATGTTGCTATGGTGAATAAATAAAACATTCAGAAAGGGCTTTTAAAAGTAGAATGTCTTATGAAAGGATTAACTGCACAAGATTTTTTTTTTAATATATTATGCTATATAGGTCAAATTATCTCAAAATTAAGAACAAATAAGAAGTCTAAAAAGCCTGTATCAGCCTGTGAATGTATCTGATGTAATGTGACAAATTATTGTTGTGTGTTAAATAATGTTTATCCTCACAAAATGTATTTGGACATGTTTTCATCTAAATCTTTCTATTGGCATTTTAGGTGTGGCTTCATAAATAGCAGAAAATTAAATTTGGGTTAGTATTATTAACAGAGCAATAGCTGTGTTCAATATCATTAGTGTTTTGTGGTCCTAAAAGTGATTTATGTTTTAAATCAAATTCCTAATGTTCTTAGATATTGAGGTGGAAGAAGGATGGAGTAAAATGCAGACAGGCGCTCTGGACATTAACCTGCAAACACTTGTGGCTGCAGGGGCGGGGGCAGCAGCTCGTTCTCTACATTCTCAGAGTCTATGGCAGATGCAGATGTGGAGGTGGATGGGTTTGGGAGGTCTTGTGGAAAGCTCTCCAGAACGCTCTGCACCTTTTGCCCTACTTCATCTGTCCAATCGATGAGGTCGCTCTCTAGCTGCCGTGCCTTCTCAATGACACGGTCCTGCCTTTCCCCTAAACCAGTTAAAAGATCCAGGCGTTTGTGGACTTGATTGAGGGCAGAGCTGCCAGGAGAGTCGGTGGAAGAGCTGGCTCCCTGTGGCCAGTGGGGAGAGGCCTGTCCGGACATGTATAGCTCAAATTCTTCAGCACTCAGATTCAGTGACTGACCATCCAGCTTTTCAATAAAGGCAACTGCACAGCACTGGGAAGAGATGACAACAACTATTAAGATAAAAAAAATAAGGATAGGTTTTGTAATATTTTAGGGTTTTTTGTGGTTTAAATGAAACTCATAATTCTTTTGAGCTGGTTAATAAAGTATTTTATCATTTTTAATACCAGGTTAGTGAAGTAGTATCCATCCTCTCCTGTCATGAGCCTGCTGGGGTTGCAGAAGCGCGTGATGTACTGGATGTTAGACTGCAGTCGTGGAGGGTTTGCCTTGAGTACTATGTAAATGAGTGTGGGGAGAAAGTCGTCTGCTGATGCTGCCTCCTTTTTGCTGATTTTTATTGCATTAAAGATGTGCTTGCTGCAGCGAGTTATACAACCGAGCTTGTCTTTTGGAACACGCTTGGAATCCATTTCAATGACATCTGCAGATACAATGATTTGTTTATTAAGTATCATGCTTTAAAAACATGTAATGTTATAGGCTTTCCCTGCTTCACCTGTGATTGCTTTGACCACACTGTCTGAGACCTCTGGAATCTCCTCATCTACAGGAACACACAGCATCTCAATTGTGACCCAATGCAAGGCTCTGTAAGAAAAACAGCAAACACTGATTAGTCAAAGGATAAAACATAATAGAGAAATGTATGTCTAATGTAAGTAAGATATGCATTTTTGTTCTTACCTAATCCTTTTCTGAATAGCCAAATCCTTCTTTTCATCATCAGTGGTCTCAGGACAAAAAACCTCCTTATACAGTCGAGTCATCATATATTTTTCAACTGCATCCATAACACTCTCAACATGTTCAGTGGAACCTTATGAAATACACAAAACTACATTACAAGTCATTACTAAACTTGCTTTTACAAAGTGGCAGCAAAAGAATACCTTTAAATTGTGTCTGCAAGCGGTCAGATAAGTTTTGGTAAAAGTCCTGGACACACTCTGACAATTCATCAGCACCCATTTCCTGTAAAGATAAGGCATACAGTATTTGTTTCACACTGAGACAGAAAGAAATACACGGACAAAATAAATGTACTTACTCGCTTATACACCATGCTTTCAGTGAAAGCCCGGCATTGTTTAAAAATCTCCCTGCCGGACTTCAGTGGCTTAAGAAAATCGATAAACTCTCTTGTTGCATGGTCTGTGTCAGCTGAAGAATGACGACTTGATGAAGAACTAGGACTTGGAGTGGACTGAGAGTCAAAAGCATTATCTGTAAGCATAGAGGGTGTTATTTAGTGTGAGAGATACTACTATATCAAAAGGAAAAAAATAAATAAGAGCTTTTGATTTGAGTAGTGCAGGCTGCTCTACAACTCCAACATGTGAAAACACTGAGGTCTGGGTATACCTTTTTTTGGTGGAGTCTTGGTTGAAGGAGTAAAAAACTTAGTAACAGTGTTGACTTTGCTGGATTTTTCTTTTGTTTTTCTTTCTTCAAACTTGCTGAAGGGTGTTATAGCTGGTTGGGATTGTGGTGGCTTACGTCTAGTGGCATAAGCTTCTTCTTCTTCTCTCTGCAGTCTGTAAAGCGTAATAGAAAATAGTAGGGCTGCAACTAATGGTTATTTAGAATATATTACTACTACTACTACTATCTAATTAATCAGTTTATCCACTAATCCACGATTGTTTGATTAGTCATTAGAACACAAAGGTTTGTGGAAAAAAAATACACATAAGCTATCCTCAAAGCAACTGTTTAATGAATACAAAGATATCACAAAAACTGAGCTTTTAGCAGCAAGAAAACATGCTACTCATACAAAAAAGTATCCTTATGAGTTAACTTAAAAATATAGTCTCTTAAGAAGGCTTAAAATCACAACCCAGAAAAACAATTTTGTCTGAGTTTTCAAGATAATGTGATGATGATGGTGATGATGTGATTTGTTCTTTATTGCATGTCTATTCTCATCCCTTTCTCTCCTGCTCTTTCTCCCCTTGGATGTGAGCTGGATTCAGTGTGGAAACATTATGTAATAGTATAAACTGTAATATATAATGAATGTAAGAGCAATAAAGAGATTCCCAAAGAGATCACAAAAAAATAACCTTTCAGCAAGTGCCCAGTCCTCTTGAATTTGTTTTTGTCTCTCACGTTGGTTCTCCTCTCTCCAGCACTTTGAGCAGAGGCCCTGCCAAGCGGTGTTGCCATAAAAACCACATCCTTTTTTGCAGAGAAGCTCGGATTGGTCCAAATGGATACCACGCCGTTCAGTTCGCTGGCTCATTGTGTTCACTGAAATGGACAAACATGACAACAGTGAGGTGTAAGGCTGTCCAATTAATCTCATTTCTATTAATTTTTATTTGCCAGTGATCAGTTTGGGTATTTATGATAAACAATGCTATAGCCAATCCACTGTCAAAGTCGTGTGGTTTGGTGCAGAGTTCAGAGTGCGGATCAATTATTTGTGTTAAATATGCAATGCAATAATTAAAAGCCTGTGTAGTTTATGTTCAGGGAATGTAATAATTTTTAATATAACAAAATATAATTAATATAAGGTAAAACATTTTGGGGGCATTTTGCCCAGCCCTGATAAACTGTTTTCAATCATTAATACTTGATAACTCCTGGTTATAAAGGTCAGTCATATCAGTGTGATTTACACTGATATGACTGACCTTTATATAACAAAGAGAGCATTGGTAATGTGTATCCACAGAATGTATTCAAACTATTTAATCTTGCGAAGTAGTCCAAATTCTTCCATTAAACTGGATTCTCACATTAAGTCCATTCAGTGAATACATACTGTCAGTGTCAAACTGTATCAGCAGCTAGTGAGATTTACATTAAAATACACAACTCTTGAGACTGAATTTAATCTAAAACAACTTAATTGGACATATTTGAAGGTCAGAGTCGTTTCGAGTTTGCAGAGATGGAGTGAGGGAGGGACAAACTGAACTGCTGTAGCCCCGTGATTAGTGCTTGGTTAAAAAGGATTAGCCAATAACAAGACATAGGCTAGTCTTACACAGACAGGAGCGGCTACAGAAGTAGCAGATAACCTCCCAATATATAATCTGATGCTCTAATCAATCACGTGCTCTACACATGTTCATACAACAGAAATCCACATCATGTGTGGAGTTAACTTTACTATACGACTGGGCAGGGTATCATTAGAGCTAGGTTAGCTAATTATTCGGCTAACTTCGCTAGCAGGCTAACACGACCACTGGGTGATTGTGACCGCAACAGTCGCAATCATTCAGTGTTAGATTTGATCTGTACGTACTCTTCTTTTCGCTGTTTTCAGAAGATGTAGGGAATTATTGATAGTTGTCCCAGCTTCAGTCCCGTCTAGGTGGATGTTTACATTAGCCAAGCGGCTAGCTCCTATCCGCTGCCATTTTGTCTGTCAAAGATGCTCCTGCTCGATGTTTTACGTACTTCTGTACGCTGCTGCCGCCTAGTGGCGGAACAGTAGAGCGGTGTATATGTATATGAGTGTAACACATGATGATATAACTCCGTAGTCTATGCGTGGACTACAACTCTTCACGAAACGTGTGATTCCTTAATGAACAATAATAGCAGTAATGCTCACCAAATTAAATAATACGAGTTTTATAATTGTATTATGTTTAGACAATCCATTCAATACCAATATAATGCATACTACACCATAATGATCATCTTAGCAAAACTTCGTCTACTAGTAGCCTAAACTGAAAACTGTTCAAGTCTCTTTGGTGCCTGACCATCACCTTGACTCTTTCACTATGAAATATGGATCAACTACGTCACTGAAGTGTAAGAGTAGGAAGTACATTACTCATAACTTACGTGTTGGTTCATTCAAGTGGATGTACAGGACTGGCCGTGGTGTGGCACATTTTTATAAGACACCTGAAAATGGCAGGTAAATTTCGGGCTGGATTGGAATACAACAGGCGCGGGGATCATTTAAACCTTATGTAGGGTTAAATACTTGACGTTTTTTTGTGTGCTTACTTTCACTTTCATGTTTGCGCCTTTGAGTCTGTGTCGTTGCATGTTCTTTACTTAAGAAAAAATAAAAAACAAAACACGTTATCAATTATATCTACACGTGCTTTGACCTATGACTTCTTTGCCTAAACTCATCAATATATTCGTTTTATCTCATAGAAGAGCTTAAAAAACTGAGGAGCAAGTTTGTACAGAAAGTTTCAAAGGATATAGTCAAACAGCTTCTTGACCTGCTGCTGGAGGACAAAGTAATAAATGATGGAGAGAAAGAGTCAATAATGGAAGAGAATCTAACTACATCTGACAAGGCAAGGCAAACTATAGACACTGTGAGCAAGAAAGGAGATAATGCCAGTAACCGACTGCTCCAACATCTTCAAAAATGTGACCCCACTCTCTACGAAGACCTGTGTCCTGAAGTCAGAAGTCAGAAGTCTGAGGTCCAGCAGGCCTGGTCATCCACTCTTATAAAATCAAAAGAGGCCTTTTGGAAGGAAAAACAAAATGATAAAAATGTATGTTGAAAGAAGCTTATTCAAATAACTTTTTTCAAGACAAAAGCTCATACTCTTTGTTTTACATTATTATATATGTCTTTTAGATCTATCCAGTGACCTTACATTCATCAAAGAACCGTGTGGCTCTGCTCATCACTAATATCAACTTTGTGAATAAAAAGAATAACAGAGCTGGAGCAGAGAAAGATGAAGAGAATATGGAGAAACTGCTCACTGATCTGGGATATGAGGTGGTCAAGCACACAGACCTCACTGGAAAGGTAACCATATAGAAAGTATTATTTACTTTTTATGTATACATTTGTTTAGTTTGTGATGTTTTTACTTTCGAAGCAAATGGATGCAGCCCTGGCTAAGTTTTCCACGCATCCTAAGCTCAAAAAGACAGACAGTGTGTTTGTGGTCATCATGTCCCACGGCAAACGAGGGGCTGTCCTTGGCGTCAACTTCAAATCAGGTCCTTCAGGAGAAGAACCAGATGAACTGCCCATTGACAATATTTTCAAGTACTTGAATGCAAAAAACTGTCCTGAGCTGGTGAACAAACCCAAGATCATCATCATCCAGGCCTGCAGAGGAGGCAAGTCTCATCACACCAGACAAAACTTAAGATTCTGTATTTATTGCAAAACAGAAACAGGGGTTGCATGTTGGTGCTCAAAATATTTTGTATTACATAGTATATGCATTTGGGCACACTTTATTTTTTATATGATTTAACTTCCAGAGGAAAGCGGGTCAGTGACTGTGCATGACAGCTTGGAGGCAGATGATGGATCTGCAATGGGAGGAAACATTGAGGAGGATAAACTGCAGGTCATACATAAAGAAAAAGACTTTATCGCTCTTCTCTCTTGCACTCCTGGTCAGTTAATTATCATCAGAGAATTATGGATCATAAAACAACCATTTTAATTTTTTTATTTTTTAAGTAGATACTGTTTCATACAGGCACAGATCAGAAGGCTCTTTCCTTATCCAGTTCACTGTTAAAGTTTTCAATACCTTTGCTCACAACTGTCATACTGAAGAGCTCTTCCGAAAGGTTGGTTGAATTTCCATTGTTTTAAATTAATTCTGATATCATGGTTTTGTACACGAAATATTATTGTTTTGCAGGTCATGCAGGAATTTGAAGAGTTAAATTGTCTAAAGCAGATGCCGACTAAAGACAGATGTACTTTAATTCATCATTTCTACCTATTCCCAGGTCTCAGTCATATGAGCTAAATACCTTGTCCCTATTCTTGTATTTCTAAAGGTTGATGTAATTTTTCTGGTGTTCAGTTGAGTCTAATCATCAAACTACGAATGTCATTTCAACGTATAAAACGAATCTGGTGCAGTTTGAACCCGTTATAATTATATTACAGCTTTTCAACGACACTCCAAAATAAAAATTTACACATTTTACATTGCATCTGGCATATTTTTCTGTGGAGAAAGACTCTGTTCTTAAGACAATGAACCACTGCACTGGCAACTGCATATATTCTCACAAACACTTATTTTAGTCATTTTCCTATGTCATAATAACATTAGTCACGCATCAGCTATGCTTTAAGGATCGGACCTATACTCTGTAACATTCCTGTTCTTCTGTATACTCCCATGATCTTGTTATTTTTGTCTTTCATGTGCAGCCCAATAATGTGCGAGGGTTTAAAGGCAGTGTGGGAGTGCCCCACCTGCAGAATAGGTACTCGGACTGTTAAGCTGTAACTTTTTACCTTATTCTTTCAAGAATAATACAAAAACATAAAGACAACTGTTGGACTCATGACTCTTATTTCCTTCTCACCAAATTTTAGAAGAATTTCCAGGAATTTCCATTACATTATTAAGGCATTCCAATGTGTGCTGTAGCCCTATGTAGTGGACCAAACAGAAAGGCAAAGACAAGGTATAAAAATAAGTTTAAATTTAATAAAGCCAAAAAATATATAATTTAACAAAGGCTCAAATTAGGCAAATTATTAACAAAAAAGCTGGGCCCAACTGGGGTAACTCAAAATCAAACTGAACAGAACAAAACTAACCCAACCAGACAAAGGAACAGGTGTGTTTAAATACCTGAGGACCAACTAAAGCTAAACACAAGAGGGAGGAATTACACTAATTAACTTAACTAAACCAATAACTTAATCAAAGTAAACAAAAAAGCAAATAATTATAATACAGAAAATAATAAGTGATAATAATGTGACCTTAACACAAACTAAACAAATTAACTTAGTAAAACAAACTAAATAGTGCTCCCCCCCTTTGCTGAGTCCTGATGGTCTCTCCCAGGGTCCTCCGTCCGGTGCTCAAAAAAACAAAAGAACAAGTGTAAGTAAATTAGACTTATATTAACTAAAATGCGTGCACTCAAATTAGAACATAAGTATAAATAACGGAATTAAATTATGTGTAGTGTAATTAACTTAATGTAAATAACAATGAAAATTAAATAATACTGACACTATGGAGTGGTGGCAGAGGTATCCACCACACCCTATAATGACATCCCAGAGAAAATAACTTGTTCTGACACCAGGACCTATTGACCTCAGACAGTTACTGTACTGTGTTTATTTTGATGGATAATGTAGTTTTGAACTCTTGAGTATGTCCAGTTTGTTTATTAAACAATGAATACAAACAAAAGTATGTTTTTTTTCTTCAGACAAAGTTTACTTGAAAAAATCTCAACAGAAACCAACCATATACACAATACAACACAAGGCAACAAGTTGTATAGGCAACATGGTAAACATTGTAGTTTGTTTATGTCACCAGGCCTCCATGCACATATTTTCTAAATTAGCTGACAAAAGACAGATTAAAGCTTAGGTTTTCGAAATAAAAACATACAACATGAGTTAAACAGCTTATTTCATTTGAACATACTGGCAGTGTTAGAGAGACTTGTTTATCAGTATACACTTATAAAACAAGGACACAAGTGGCTCCTTCTTTGTTACAGAATTCAGCTCAATCAAATTGCCACGAAACATCATGTACGGCATGCGCTCAACACTGGAGTCAGAAATGCAGAAAGACTGCAAGACCAGCTCAAGTGATTTTGTAATTTCCAGATAGATCAGTTATTTGCCAGGTAAAGAAAAATAGTTCTTTTATATCACATCCTTGGGACAATGATGCATCAGTTAGAGTCCAAACAGATGCACTATTTAGACTTCCTCAAAAGTGCAACCTTTATTTTTCATGCAAACAAACCTCAACACCAAAGCACAGTCAGACTCACCATTCCCACAGACAATCAATCTCAAATATGTCAATATTGTTTGAAAATGATTTTTACTCACCTGGCAGCAACAGATTTCTCCCAATTTACAATATAGGACCCACAGACAGTCTATGGTAGGCCAAGATTCAAACTCATATTCCACGTAAAAGAAAAAATTGTGTATAAAACATGCTGTTTTAGCGCTATGGCAGATAAAAGAGACAACATAACAAAACAAAACCAACACTGTTGAATATTGGCCTCTTACGTTCGCCTGGAATGTATCATTATTAGAGTGTACCATTTCACTTTTTACAACACTCAAGATAACAGTTTGCAGCACCACGTTTTTACAAAATAGCAACTCATGCAAAAAACACCTTCAGCCTGTGTCCAGTGAGTAAAATCTATTGTACATCATGTTGAAGACAGAGGTTGACCAGGAAACTGTAAAAGTGTGGTGTGTTTTTGCTCTTGTGCAGCTGCCATTATGTGTCTAACCTAGTGTGCCTCCGACTACGGAAGCAACAACAATGCCCAGGATCACACAACATATAATAATCATGATTTTCTTCTGTACAGTGTAAACAAGTGGAGAGCATCCAAAGCAGCATTATGGAGACAGAAAGGAGTTTGTTAGTACAGGAGAGAATGTCACATCATTGTGTTCATTCCAGTGCATTATTGCACCCAGAACCAAAGTTAACACAAAGAATAGATCAAATATTCAGTATAAAAGTGAAATATTTTAGGACAGAAAATCAAAAGGATTTGGGTAAAGTCAATTTAAAGCTTATGGCAAGTTCTATTAATTGCATATATATAGAGAGAATAGTTACATAAAGTTAATGATAAAAAATAATCTTATATATATAGGCAAACACATAATTGCTGTAGTATTTTAACCTTAAACTGCTTGAAAGTTTAAATTGTGACTGTACAAATAAAAAATATTATACCTGTTTATTTATGCGGACATTATGTTTTGCCTCTCCTGTGAAGTTACAGTAATGTGACTTCTGCTTTTTTATTTTTTAGTCCTTAATTAATATAATATTAAATAATAATATAAAAACAGATAATTTAGTACCAGTAGTGTGAAGTATGTTTCTGCTTCACTGTATTGTAAAGTTACATTTATTTTATTTACCTAACTGTTACATCAACAAAATGTATAGAGTATAGAGTTTTATGAAAATATAAAGGTTTAAAAAATGTGTGGACAATATTTTTTTTTAGATTTACCACCCCTCATACAAACAGAGACAAGCCACAGCATGCACACAACATCTAGACACAAAGCTGTTGGACAAAAGTACAGGTATTTACAGCACATACAGTTCACTTTGAGTTCACTTTATCCCCTCAGTGCAACATCACTCAAAATAAATTATGTGTTTTGGATCAACATGAAATAATTAAATGTAAAAAGGTGGCACTATGTAATGTAATTAAAGGTGCCCTATGTAAAATTTCTGTTGGGGGAGTCACCTTGTCTCCATTATTGCTTTTGGTAATGGTCCACTCCACAGCATTGCATTTATTTACTTATCTTTACCTAGTATTCACATACAGATGTTTTTATTGCTCAGAAATATCTTGAAAAACATGTATACTTACTCTCCACAGATCTCACTTGTAACATGGTAAAGTTTGACACAATTTGTCTCCATGGGGTAGTATCAAGGATCTACTCCAGTGACTAAACTTCAGTAAATTTTTTTGTTATTTTTATTCATGGGTTGCAGAGGTGAGACCAAGTCTTTGTTTTGCAAGTCTCAAGTAAATCTCAAGTCTTTGACCTAAAGTCTGAATCAAGTCCCAAGTAAAATACAGGCAAGTCTCGAGTCTCGAGTCACTGGCCCATAAGTCCAATTTAAGTCCAAGTCATCTGCTTTGAGCTTCAAGTCATTTCAAGTCTTTAAACCAAAGTACCAAATATAGCTTAGCTTTTGGTAGTTTATATGACTTTTAAGATAAACTGTAGTTAAAAAAACATACATTATTTATTTATATATGAGTATTTATAGAGTATATAAAAGTTGTAGATGTAGTTGTCATTTAGTTAATTTTTCCTTTTTAAATGTACTGACAAGATCTTAGTCTGAATAATTATGGTCAGAATAGAAGGAATTGAGATTTAAAAGTGCTTCTCAAGTCTTCTTAAGTCACAGGCCTCAAGTCTGAGTCAAGTCCCAAGTCATGACTTGCAAGTCCAAGTAGAGTCCCAAGTCTTAGTCCAAGTCTCAAGTCTGACTCAAGTCCAAGTCATGACTTGCAAGTCCCAAGCTTTGATGGGTTGGGCCATCTTTGCATGTAAATAACTGCTCAGGCAAAGCAATAACATCTTTATGACAACAAGCAAGCAGACCCTCCAACAGAAAACATCTTTTTAGTGCAGTATGCAATAATGATAATCTTACCTACTGCACTTTCCTTTAAATAAATGTAAGTGCGATTTATAAACTTTTTTTTCCCTACATTTCTTATTCCTCAAGTAAGACCCACTGTCAGGGCAATAATGACAATAGTTAGACAAACAGCAATGCATCCTCCAATTAGGAACACTTTCTGCAAGGAAAGATAGGAAACAATGTAAAAAAAAATGGCCTGTTCTGCTTTTTAAACGTGCTAAAATATAATGAGGAAAAGTGAAAGTGCAGGAGAAGAAACGCCTTTTTAAGCTTTTGCTATTGCTGTTAACAACCGAGAGGGGGCAGACTCAGTCCACTTTAGACTAGACTGTCAATTATCAACTCAACATTTCTTCCCCAAATGAAATCAATGGCACTAAGCATACTGGCACTACATACATACACTTTACATGCCACACAGTTCACAGACACAGGCCATGCTTCTAGCTGACAGTTGCAAAAACATGCATGTGTTAGCAGGCTTATGACTCACCCTTCGTGCTTTACTCTGGTATTTAACTGCCTTCTTAGTGTCTGATACTGCCCTTTCCACATAGTCTACAGAGTGCTCCACATTATACTCTATGCGGTCTATCATTTCACCCTTTCACAGATGAAGTTGACGAAGAATACAGGCAGCAGTGGAAAAAAGCAGAGAAAAGAAAATTAGTTCTAATAAGTCCCACCTTTTTAGGCTTTTTAAACTTTTTGCATTTAGGGATGTTCTCTTTTGCATTTTCCACATAATTCTGGGCCCCTGAAACACAATGCTCAATGTTGTTCACCAGGTCACCCTGCATAAAAATGGAAATATAGTTATTTAAAAACCAATACGCAACTGAAGGTCTAAGTTACGTCTGATAAGCATTTTGTTAATATATCGTGATTGATCCAATACTATGCAAATGTTAGCGTGTTAAATGCATTTGATTAATAAAACTTATTTTAATAGATTCAGGTTAATAGGTTTAGAACAATATATGATCTTAAAGGTGCACATTTCTGGCAGAGGGTCCACCACCTGCTTGTCTCCATGGAACTGTTATTGCTTAGTCTGGAATGTTCCATGGTATGACATTAAACATATATCCAACATTTATTCATTATGAGCATTTCTATGGCTCAAAAACAGAATCATTCTTTCTGTGAAAAGGGGTGTCTCTCCACAGATCTGAATCATAATGTAGGGTAGTGCTGTAACCTGATTGTCTCCCTTGTGGGTTTAATCTGTACTGTGGAACATTCTAGACGAAGGAATTACATTTCCATGGAGACATCAGGCGGCGAACCCTCCACTATGTTACACAGTGCATCTTTAAGCTTTTCTGTTCTTATCAAATCAGCATTTACCATACATAAAATTTGAAGACCTCTGAGTTTAACTGCAGTTTGTGAGATATAGTGTTGCAGTTGAGAGATTGCACAGCACTTTATGCAAACTGTTAATAAATATGGCTGTGTATGGACAATAAAACAAGATATTACCTATATATATTTTAAGAGAACCAGGCAAGGATAAATTAAACACACCATAGTCCATGTTACGGCACCCTTACAGAAAAGAACTTGTTAGTTGATCAAAGCAATTACACAAAGCAAACTCAATGCAAGATTGATTAATACAGTCATGACAAACAATGCAGTCAATATGGCCCTTTCAGAGCTGTCATTCACATCTTCTTGCTCTCAAAGTGAATATTTCTGATAAAGCCAATGGTTCTCAGTGGGGGTCTAGCCCACACAATCATATTCACAATCACATACTGCAGGTCCTTGCATCACCTCAGGCTAAATATGGAACCAATGCATTATGGGAAACATAGGGACAGAGACATGTCCAGTGTGTCAACGGAAATGTGAAAAGCAGGAAAACATTTAATTCTCCAGCCTGCTCCATCATGGGCCAAAACTAATTGGTCCAAGTCTATTTTTACCAACATATTTTGCAAATGGGGATCCAAATGGAGCCGAAAACATATTATCCTTCCAACTCATTTGGCTATGATTATGTTTAATATGAATTCATACTGTCAGCTTTTATTGTTATTTAGAGTTTTTGTCACAACACAGAAATGGCAGAATGAAGCAGCATCTTGAGGGACCAGTGAAGAAAGCTGCTGCTTTACTATTTGTATAAAGTTAGTGTTCATTGTTTTATCCACTATCTGTTAGAGCCGTGTGGTGAAAAGTAGACTGATAAAACAAATGAATAAGTGAGTTTTAGTGCTAAAGGAGTAAATTAAGAGCTTTAACAGATCTTCAGCAGGTTAATGGTCAGAGCTAGCGTCCTTCGCCCACATTTTTAGTCTTGTGGTGCAGAAACCCACTTTCCCAAACAATGATTGAACCCAGAACCATATGGCTGAGAGTGAGTATTAATCACTCTGCTGTAATGCTGTCCCCATGTGTCTAATAATGCCATACACTTTGAAATCCAAAAGAAGCAGATTTTTTTAGTGATTTTCAGCTCTTTTGTGGTAATTTTATAAATTTTATGTAATTTTTTACAAGTCTTTTAACTTTGGTGCAATACTCACTCAAGACATTTACTAGGCCATTGGGCACATTTAGATTAGATTAAAGAATGGATTTCAAAACCATCACCCCATCAACACTTCAAGATTAATCAAGTCATTAATGTCAAGATTAATTCATGATCATTTTTTGTCAGTATCCCCCCTAATCCAGTTGTCTGAACATCACAATTTTGCCCTTTTCAAACTGACTCAATATCTCATGTTTGCCAATAGTCATTCATGTTTCTACAGCAATATTTAAATGCTTCTTGTTATATCAGATGTGCAGTGAGTCCTTTGTTACCTGACTTTCCACCAGCATTGCCATGTCCATGAACATGTCATGCAGCTCTCGGATGCTGTTCTCCAGCTTGATAATTTCATTGTGCCGTGTCTCGATTTCATTCATTGCTTGCTGTGTGATGTTGTCCATAATAATCTGTAATAGCGTAACAAACAGAGAAGAGTGGGTAGGAGGACTTCATTTAAATCTGGTATTTAAGCTACACAGTGATTGTGCTGCTCACTCCGGAGGTGAAAATAGCTGGGTTGTCACTTTCTAACATACTCTCCAACTCCTCATTTGTTGTGTTTCTTCCGGCTGTAAAAAAAACAAAAAAAACAGAAGATGTCACTTTTGCAAAGAATGGACAAACATATTAGGTTAAAAGCACATAAGGAGCACTTTGAAGCTCTTAACACTGTCCATCTGTGTCTCCAGTCCCTCAGCAAGTTTTATTATTTTATTATTATTTCACAATTAGGAAAATATGGAAGAATTTCAATGGTGATATATTCCAATAATTGGGCATTTATATGGGCACAGATTTAAGATGCAGATACAGCCCTTACTACAGCCCATTTATACTGACTTTGGGACCACCTCAAAAAAATCTTGTGTCTTGTGTTCCATGTGACTGGATCAGAACAGCGTTTGTCAATCTGCTCTAATCAACAGTCATAAAAGACTGAAAGGACAATATGGAAGAAGTATGTGAGGTACAGCTTCTAGAGAATGACCGGAGGAGGGGGAGAGAGGGAGAGGGGGGCAGTAAATAATACAAATATTGCACAAAATAATAGCAAAAAGAAGAAATAAACTTGTACATTTCTTATAATTTTTATTATAATGATTAACTCCTGAAGTGTTAAAATTCTCACTTTAAAGACATGGACTGGCTCTTGTGCCACCCTTGGGCTATCCAAGCAAAAAAAAAAAAAAAAAAGTCCGGACATGCCCCTGGCAAGGTGAGAGGACTCTACAGCATTCTTGCTTAACTGGTTGGTAATATACACTTCAAATCTAAACTAGTACCTCATTCCTTTGTACACTCATTCATTCATTCATTGTACATTACAGATACAGTAGGTCCTGCCTGAAACCAATCATCTTCTCTGTCTGCATATGCTTTGCTTTTCAGTGTATCCCTCTGAGGTCTCACTTCCTTTCTGTTACATAACAATGGAAATTAAATAATCCTGTTACTGGTAGCAACATAGCATGAATGATTTAATAGCCCATGAGCACACTGGTGAAGTACGACTTTCTTGGCTTCGCCTTTCTCTGGGTTTGGGTCTCCATGGTAACCAATAAGAGCCTCCCCCTGTGCTGTCAGAAAAAAATCCGCTGTGTGTGTGTCTGTGTCTGTGTGTGTATGTGGGATGTGAGATAAATTGAATGAAGTGGCACTATATCCCTCCTTTATCTGGATCACATGTATAATGGTCACTCTGTTCTCTTCTTATGGCTCACCTTTGAACTCATTTTAATGTCACTGTGGCCTTAATGAAGACACATTATTTATCACTGACAGCCCTGTCCAATACCAAATTGATCTGGTGCCCTCCCACAATGCCCTGTAGCCTTCGTCTCACACATCTTTTCAATTTGACAAAAAAGCCATAGATTCACATACCAAAGTGTTGATAAGATTCACAGTTTTAATATGTTAGAAATGACAAATGTAATGATTAAGATGAGGAAGAAGCTCATCAGTATTCTGTTGGTAAAAACAAACATTGCTTTGATTCTCACATAATATCAGTCACCATCACTCTATACCTGTGTAACCAGAGAGATCAATAATCCTGTGCACAAAACATCCACACCATACTTCTGTACACAATAATGTTATAGCTCTATGTTGGAAGAGGAAGGAACTAGAATCTGCACCCATGTGATCAGGAGCAGAGTTTGGGTCCCTTCAAAGAGGGGCCTAAATCATCCTCAGTGAGCAATTTAACATTCATTTTGGCAAAATAAAAAAAAAAATACTTTTAACTAATATTTAATTCAATCATTTTGGCTTAGAGGTGACATTTATTATTATAAAAACAATAATTATTATTATAATTAATTGCAGAATATAATAAATATCAGCTACAATAACCCCACCCTAAATTCTGAATACAATCTCTGGTCGTTGTAAGAAAATACCATTGTTATTCTCTACTTACTGGCCTACTATAGTGGATAATCATAGTGTCTCAGTAGAAAATGCACAAGGTGAAAGGCTCAGGCAATATTCAGTTATGGCACTATTTCTGCATTTCATGGTGTGATTTCAAAAAGCAGCACAAAGTAATTTTTCAGCAACAAGCTCAAAAAGTCTTCCAGTCCTGACTCCCAGCTGATACTTAGAAATAATAATCACCACTACAGCCTAGGGAGATACAGTACCATACCAATATGGTGTCATTTTGTAACAGGAGGCTTTTTTAGTATGTACTTTTTTAGTTGTATTCTTTGTACAGTATCTTTGAGTGTTTAGAAAAGCACTAAATAAATAGTAATGTATTATTATATATATATATAAAAAAGTCTTATTATTTTGAATGTCTCCTGTATCCTGGAGTCATGTGACAGTGACCTGTGTTGCTGCCTGATTTGCACAAGTTTGATTATTTAAAAAAAAAAAACACAACTAACTAAATGAAAGCACAAATAAATTGAAGTTAATTTTTTTTAACCATGATTGTTTTTAGTTGTAGAGAAACCTACAAACGCTACACAGAAAGGCCCCACCAGGTCTGGCAATCGAACCCTGAACCTTCTCGTTGTGAAGCCAAAGCTCTAACTGCTCTGGCCTCATATATGTAAATGTAAGAACAAATGAACAGAAAAGGTGAGGGTCAATGAGGTCCTCAAGGATAAGAGTTGTCACACAGGGAAGGTATTACAGAGATTTCAGGGAGTTAACAGGCTGTATCTGTCAGTCTGTCTGAGCAGAGCAGTTGAAACAGGTCTGAAGTACGAGGCGAGGAGAGGCGTGGGAGAGGAAATATCGATCTTCTATCCGACAGACCAGACTGTGTCCCTCTGCGTGTGATACAAGCCTATTGATTTACACCACTGTCAAAAAAGCTACCACTGCTATTGCCAGAACATAGCTCTTTTAACAAATCCTGTTATATCAGATCTGCACGTAACGTAATGTAGAGGGACAATTTGTGGAGCAAAAGACTACATTTCTTCATCTGTTCTTTCTCCACCACTGTCGGATCCTTCCCCTGACAACAGGCGGTATCAGCAAAGGCCACCTGTGACTTTAGCAGCTGACAAATCAAATCCAAACACAGGGGCCCATAAGGAAAAGGTGAGTCAGGTGCAATTTTGTTACTCCTAAAACAGCCAACCACTACTATTATTTTTACTCAGTAGAAGTGGTGAACAGAGCTTGGACTGGTTGCACACATTTTCAAAAGAAGTACAAACTGGAATGCTTTATGCCACTGTTATAAAAACAACAAAGTACTCATACTAATGCTAAAATAAATGTATATAGCACTTTTATAATAATAATAATACAATAAAGGTCCTATATTAAGCAAAACATGTGAAGTTTTAGTTGGTTGGTTGTTGAAACCTCATCAAAACATTCCTGGAGTTGTGTTTTGTTTCATTCACACATGTTTGAGTAAGCCTGTATTATTAGTCTGTCTAAATCTTCAAAGTTCAAATGCTCATCATGAAGCAGTGGTTTTCAAGTTAACAGCTCCTTTTACCTTTTGCTTAGTGGAGATTGTCAATTCCAGTGTTTAAAGTACCTATATAATTATAATGAAGATATATGGAGTTTAAAAACACAGAAATGTCACGCCCCTGCCTGTGACCTGAGTCTTCCTTGTGTGGATGTGGGCGGAGTCTGCTGGGAGCACCTGCTCTCCATCTGCAATCAAGCCTGCTACAAAGGCCCAGCTCTCCAGCCAGACTCTGCCAGATTGTTTCGTCTACCTGATGGTGATCTACCAGTCAGCTCAGTTTTTGTTTCTACGTCACTTCCTGTTACTTACCTGCATTTTTGTATTTCCTAGTTCCCGCTGTGGAAGACTCCGGCATTCCAGCTCCTGGCTCCTCGCTCCTCCACTGCCTATCCTGCCTCGTTAATAAACCTTTGTTTCTTTTTTGCATTTTTGCCCTCGTTCTGAGTCTGTTTTTGGGGTCCACTCCAGTGGTACACAACAGAACAATCTGGCCAAGACATGGACTCCCCAGACCCAGTTCGAGCAGCACTCCAAGCCCAAGGACTGAGAATTAAACAGCAAGAGGAGCAAGTGAGTAGCCTCAGAGAAGAACTCAGATCTGCTAATGACGGTCACCAAGAGGCATTTTCTCAGATATCCTCTCAGATGAACTTCATTATTGAGCGATTCAAGCAAATGGAAGATACATCGTTTCCACCTGCATGAGCTACTCCACCTCCCACTCCTGAAGTTGTTTCTGCCCTTCCTCCTCCTGGATCTTCTCTCATTCGTTTGTCCAGTCCAGAGAGATTTTCCGGTGAGTCAGGGGATTGTCGGCCATTTCTGTCTCAATGCGAGTTGCATTTCGAATTCCAACCTGCTTCATTTCCCTCCGACCGTGCTAAAGTTGCATATATAATCTCCTACTTGACTGGTCGAGCTAGAGCCTGGGCTACAGCGGAGTGGGATCGGCACTCTACCATCTGCAATTCCCTTCCTCTTTTCCTCAAGACTTTCAACCAAATCTTCCAGACCGTTTCACCTGGTCGAGAGGCTGCTAAGGCCTTGGTCTCATTACGACAAGGACGACGCAGCGTGCTGGATTACGCCTTGGAGTTTCGTACTCTCTCGGCTGACAGTGGGTGGAATCAGTTGGCCCTAGTGGATGCTTTTTTCAACGGACTTTCTGAGACTATAAAAGACCACCTAACTCCCCTTGATTTACCCTCTGAGTTGGAGGCTTTGATTGCTCTGGCCTCTAAGATTGACAAAAGACTGACTGAGAGGGAGCGAGTCCGTATCCGTCAGCTTCCCCCACAGCCCAGAAAAATGAACTTCAGGGAGAGGGTTTCTCCAGTTTCCTCCGTGCCTTCTGTGCCTACTGTCGATCCAGAGGAACCTACGCAACTGGGTCGGGCCCGACTAACTCCAGCTGAACGCCAACGCCGACAAAGGTCGGGCCTTTGCTTTTACTGTGGACAAGAAGGTCATTTCATCAGTGCTTGCCCCTTGCGGCCAAAAGACCAGGCTCACCTGTGAGTGGAGGGGTCCTAGTGAGCCATGTTTCCTCTCCTACGCAATTTTCTCCGGACCGGCTTCTCCTTCAGACCTCCCTTCTGTGGTTACGTGAGTGCCTCTCTTTCCATAGTTTTGTTGACTCTGGGGCCGACAGTAATTTTATTGATTCCAACCTTGTTCATCAAGCGAATATTCCTACCGAACCATTAGTTTCCCAGAGACGTTAATGCACTAAACGGTAACCACCTAGCCAAAATCACTCATCGCACCATGCCTGTTACCCTTATTCTGTCTGGCAACCACAGAGAGGAAATACAGTTGTTAATCATTCCATCTCCTCAAGCTCCGGTGGTTTTGGGACTACCTTGGCTCAAGCTGCACAACCCACAAATTGACTGGTCAGCCAATAAGGTTAACAGCTGGAGTGTTCATTGTCACTCCCAGTGCCTCAAGTCAGCCGTCACGGTGAGTAAAGGTTCAAACTCCACTCCACCTAGTCCACCTGATTTGACCTCCGTTCCAACCATATATCATGATTTGGCTCAAGTATTCAGCAAAGAGAAAGCACTGTCTCTCCCTCCTCACCGTCCCTATGATTGTGCCATAGATTTACTCCCTGGAGCTCCCTTGCTTTCTAGTCGTCCTGAGAGAGAAACTATGGAACAGTACATTAAAGACTCTCTGGCAGCTGGGTTAATTCGGCTCTCCTCGTCCCCTGTAGGGGCTGGATTTTCCTTTGTAGATAAAAAGGATAAGACTTTATGACCCTGCATTGATTATCGTGGTTTAAATGACATTACTATAAAGAATAAATATCCCCTTCCACTCACTGACTCTGCGTTTGAGCCCCTCCATCAAGCTAACATTTTTACCAAACTTTACCTCCGCAATGCTTACCATCTGGTCCGCATCTGCCAAGGAGATGAGTGGAAAACTGCATTTAATACTCCCATTGGACATTTTGAATACTTAGTCATGCCGTTCGGACTTACTAATGCCCCTGCCGTATTCCAAGCCCTGGTCAATGATGTGCTCCGTGACATGCTCAATGAATTTGTATTTGTTTATCTGGATGACATTTTGATTTTCTCTCAAGATCTTGAAGAACATGTGGAGCATGTGAGGCTGGTCCTGCAAAGACTTTAGAGAACAAGTTATTTGTAAAAGCCAAAAAGTGTGAATTCCATGCCACCACTGTTAACTTTCTCGGTTTTGTCATTGAGCAGGGACAACTTAAGCCTGATCCGGCTAAAGTGAAAGCTGTTGCGGAGTGGCCGAGACCCGAGACACGCAAACAACTCCAGCGTTTTCTGGGATTTGCCAACTTCTACAGAAGATTCATCAAAGACTACAGTAGAAAAGCAGCTCCTCTTACCTGTCTGACCTCCCCCCCTTGTCCCGTTCAAGTGGTCTCATGACGCAGAAGTAGCTTTTTCCACACTCAAACAACTTTTCATAACTGCTCCTGTTTTGTCTCATCCAGATCCATCCAAACAATTCATTGTTGAAGTTGACACCTCTGACTCAGGAGTGGGTGCTGTCCTGTCCCAGCGTTGCCCAAAGGATCAGAAAATTCACCCCTGTGCCTACTTCTCCCGGTGATTAACACCAGCGGAAGCCAACTATGACGTTGGCAACCGTGAACTCCTGGCAGTTGTTTTGGCCCTCCAGGAATGGCGCCACTGGCTGGAAGGAGCTGAGCACCCCTTTATTGTGTGGACTGACCACAAAAATCTTTCTTACCTTCGTTCTGCTGAAAGGTTGAACTCCCGTCAGGCTCGATGGGTGCTGTTCCTGGGAAGATTTAATTTTGTTTTAACTTACCGTCCTGGATCCCGGAATACTAAGCCAGATGCCCTGTCCCGTCAGTCCACTTCTGAGGAGACTGAAACCCAACCCACTCCTATCCTACCTCCATCTTGCATCATTGACAAACCAGACTCTTTGATCAAGTCCTCGACTTCGAGTTTCCTTCTTGGTGCCGTTAGCTGGGAGATTGAGAAGTTAGTCCGGGAGGCCCAACAAACCCAACCTGACCCAGGTACTGGTCCACCCAATTGTCTTTTTGTACCCGACTCTGTGCGCTCCCAAGTCCTCCAGTGGGGGCACTCCTCCAAGCTAACTTGTCATCCTGGTTTTTATCGCACTTTAGCTTTCCTGAGACAAAGATTTTGGTGGCCCTCCATGTCTCGGGACACCAGAGTCTTTGTTTCTGCTTGTCCTGTGTGCGCTCGCAGCAAATCCAGTCACCTGCCCCCTGCTGGTCTTCTCCATCCTCTACCCATCCCCAGCCGGCCTTGGTCACATATAGCAGTGGACTTTGTTACGGGTCTCCCCACGTCAGAAGGAAACGCCACTATCTTAACCATTGTGGATCGTTTTTCTAAAGCCGTGCATTTTGTTCCTCTCCCCAAATTACCTTCATCCTTTTGAAACGGCTAAACTCTTGGTGCAACATGTGTTTCGTCTTCACGGTATTCCCACAGACATTGTGTCAGAGGCCCTCAATTCTCCCCTCAGGTTTGGAAGGCCTTTTGTCTGTCTCTAGGGACTTCTGTCAGCCTTTCCTCTGGTTATCACCCGCAATCTAATGGACAAACCGAGAGGGCTAACCAGGACTTGGAGTCTGCACTGCGCTGTGTCACAGCCTGTAACCCCACCACTTGGAGTTCTTTTTTGCCTTGGGTCGAGTACGCCCACAATTCCTTAGTGTCATCTGCCACAGGTATGTCTCCTTTTATGGTGTCTCTGGGCTTTCAACCACCTTTATTCCCTGCTCAGGAGATGGAAGTCGCAGTCCCTTCTGTTCAGGCTCATCTACGACGCTGCCGTAGTGTTTGGAGGGCAGCCAATGCAGCACTCAAACGCACAAGTCTTCGTAACCAGGAGAGTGCCAATCGCCACCGCGTACCATGTCCCACTTACCAACCAAGGCAAAAGGTTTGGCTTTCCTCTCGAGATTTGCCTCTTCAAGTAGAGTCTCGTAAATTGGCTCCTAAGTTTGTTGGACCTTTCACCATCGAAAAAGTAATCAATCCGTCAGTTGTGCGTCTCAGATTACCAAGATCTATGAACATTCATCCCTCTTTTCACGTGTCCCTATTAAAACCTGTGGTTTCTAGTCCGCTCAGCCCTCCGGCCGATCCCCCTCCTCCTCCTCCCACCCGGATCATCGACAATCACCCTGCTTTCACTGTGCGCCTTATCCTGGATGTCCGGCGTCGTGGGAGGGGTCACCAGTACCTTGTGGACTGGGAAGGGTATGGTCCTGAGGAGCGATCTTGGGTCCCTCGGCATTACATCCTTGATGCCTCTCTGCTCCGGGATTTCTACAGGACCTTCCCTGACAAGCCTGGTAGGACGTCCGGAGACGTCCCCTAGGAGGGGGGGTACTGTCACGCCCCTGCCTGTCCTGAGTCTTCCTTGTGTGGATGTGGGCGGAGTCTGCTGGGAGCACCTGCTCTCCATCTGCAATCAAGCCTGCTACAAAGGCCCAGCTCTCCAGCCAGACTCTGCCAGATTGTTTCGTCTACCTGATGGTGATCTACCAGTCGGCTCAGTTTTTGTTTCTACGTCGCTTCCTGTTACTTACCTGCATTTTTGTATTTCCTAGTTCCCGCTGTGGAAGACTCCGGCATTCCAGCTCCTGGCTCCTCGCTCCTCCACTACCTATCCTGCCTCGTCAATAAACCTTTGTTTCTTTTTTGCATTTTTGCCCTCGTTCTGAGTCTGTTTTTGGGGTCCACTCCAGTGGTACACAACAAGAAAAGCACTTCCTGTATTACCACATAACAAGGTACAGGAACAAGGAACAGGTCATTTTCACAGGACAAACAGATTGTTTTCAGTTTGAGAGAAGAAGTTAGTCTAAATATGGAGGCTCTGTGTGTTAACCTTTACAAACTATTCATTTTTGAAGCCTTCACAGTACAATTTGGGTCAAATTTGGCCCAGACCGAGAATTCCGTTCACAGTAAGTGTACCAAATTTTGAACTGCAGATCCATTTAGAATGTCTAAATAGACTACCCCACATTAATAAATATATGTAATATATAAATATCATGTTTCAAAGAACAGGAAGAGCATATTTTTCATATTTGCTTGTTCTTTTGCATGTATGAGACAACTGTGGTGTCCTGACTGAAAGCAAACTTCAAGACCTCTCTCCCCCATGATTGACTTGTGTTTCTTATGTGCATCATATACAGGATGATTCCCTTCGCCCCTTCAAAAACCAATCGGTTTCTATCTCTGGGAACCTGGGGCATGGGGAAATCTCAAAACAGTGAACTCTTGAAATCTGTCAACACTGTCTCATAAAAAAATACACACAAACATGGTCTGTACAGTTTCACAGTTTCAAGATTCCCTACAACTTCCATTTTCCTTCATTTGATCCACACTGATAGAGCTAAAATCCATCTCAAAAGGGTTAGACCCGAACCAGCCTCAGTGACCAAACATTTGTAGCACCTGTATACATTATATTTTATACAATTTCAAAATATTTAAATTTTTGTATATTTTGGCAAAATTTAGGAAAAGTCATCAAATTTCAGGATAAAAGTCTGATGCTTAAGGTACTTTTACTACTCCTGAATGTCAAAACGGGTCTAATTTGACCTCACTAGTATGTAAGGGTTAAATATGTGTAAATTAAACAAAACACAACTGCCGGTGTGTTTTTGATGGGGGAACGACATAACAGATCAGAAAATAACGTAATATGGGCCCTTTAAACAAATACTGCAGCTGGTTACTCACTGATCTCCAGTTGTCTCTGGATGCGGCCTTTGCAGCGCTCTCTGTAGTCTGACTGTGTGGTGTTGTACTCCGACATCACCTCTACAAACTTACGGGACAGCGTGGAGTGCTGGAACAACAATAAATACAAACATTAGGTTGAGTTAGACTATTAAACTCAAATTTACTCACGCTTCATACCTGTGTCTTACGTATTCTAAGATCTGCTGATGATCTGTTTTGCCCTTCTTCTTGTTCTATAGTTTGCTGGATACCTGCAATACAATGTTATAGTTTCAAATTCAAGCCAAACCCACTCAAACTTTAGGCTCAGTCAATTTAATGTGAAAAATAAATATGTTAATAGCAGGTAAATGACAAAAAGGTTGTATTCAATATGCTCTCAGAGTTGTAGTTTAAAAAAATACTTTACTGACTTTTTAGTTTGGAACGGATTTTGTTAGCCAGTTTCTTGATGTCCGCCATGAGATCCTCCAGTTCAGCCTTAGTCTCTGGAAAAAAGAAAACGCTTAAATGAGTCGTGAAGAGCTGTACTGTGTCTGAAAGTAAGCAGAGCTGGTTTTGGCAATCGATATTTCACACATTCACAACTCAAAAGCAGCCAATTACCTTGTGTGCTGCTGCTGATATTGATTGGTTTGTTTGTTTGTTGGGACAGTAACTAAAGTTTTGGGATGGTTTTAACAAGCAATTAAGTATACGTTGGTGTGAAATACAGCTACTTGTCTTGTCTTGATCCCTCTTTTTGCAGCTGACTTACCTGTACAGGGTCTCATGGGAACCAACCTTCCAACCACTCTGTTAGTTAAGTCAAAATATGCACAATAGTTAAAATCCTCCAGCTCGGTAGTCCTCAAGCTCTGAGGAGAAGTCCCCAGGCGCATTGAAAGATGGGACAGAGGATTAGGTCTGTCACAATTAAGTGCAATATCGACTTATCGTTCAATATATGATAGCTGGAACAATATATTTTTAGACTCAGTATTTTTTTGGGAAAAGTGGCGAGTTTTGGGAGATTTTTGTTGTAATACAATAAAATTTGAGCCATAGAGGGTTGAATGACTATGACTAATTATTATTGCAGCTCATGCCTTGTGAATGATACTGCCTATTCAAAAATGGTTTAATGGATTACTGCATTATTATCATATCATATTATATTATTATTGTATCCATGAAGTAGTTTCAATGTTACCATTTATCGGAATATATCTTTGTAGCAATATATCGTTTCTCAAAGATTTTTATCGTGACAGGCCAACAGAGAACAAATTGCGATTTGACTTGACTCAGGCTTATTGGAATGCATTGTAACCAAACATTTACTGCTATTACAGCATCGAATATTAATGACATGAATTAAGCTGAGACAGACTTTACTCCGGAGTTTTAATTGCAACTTTTTTTGCAAAGTAAGTTTATTGGAGAACATTTATCATCTTGCCATAGAAGACCTCAGGAAACCACCAACATAAAACACGCCTGAAAGTTAGTTAGGCTATTTAATGAAACTGTGCTGCACTCTCCCCACTGCCTCAAGTTCTCCTCAACAGTAATTACTTTGCATATTGCATGGGACCCTCTCGTTTCAATAAGCACTCACTCTATAAATCATAAATATGAAAATAAAAACTGCCACAAAATAACCAGACTGACCGATGGGAGTGGGCGACAAAGTAAAACAGAGCAACATTGAATTACAATATGACACCATCACCAAAATTTTATATCGTCATACGGCTTAGAGCATGATTGTTATTGTCATTTCGTCCAGCCCTGCTTACCCCCTCTGCTGTCTGGTGATTAACAAAAGTTCCTCCTGTTTAAATATCAGCAGATTCCAGCTATGAGCATGAGCAAACAGGACAGAGATAAAGCAGGTGGGATAGTGATTATCGGACAAAAGAAACACAGTAGTAGGCTTTGTTGAGTGAGGATTACAAATGCTTTTTATCATTTGTGTATTTAAACTCCCTATTGGATACAATGGAATATGTGTATTGACTATATTAAAATGAAATATAATAAGACCTGTCTGAGTTTAGGTCTGCGCAAAATATGTAATAGTGCGTAATAAGACAAACACTAGGCCCATCCTCAAAAGGCTATTAGAAACCTGTCAAAGCTGTTTCTGCCACTGGTGAAACAGTGAGCATGTTTGCGGGGTCAGGGACGGTGATTTCCATCTCAAGTAGTGGGCTGACGCCCCGAGGGTGAGCGGGATAAGTGGTGCTCTGTGTGCTCTCTAGATGGAATCAGTCACCTACAGCATCACTGACTTCCTATTTATAACTGCTGCACTATCACTATCGAGATTTGAGATTACTGGAGGTACCAAACAATCTCACTTCTCTCAAGAATAATGCCACTTACAGTCCATAACTGAACCTGCTTTAGTGTGTGTATACTTTGTACCAGTTAGCATATTTCGTATTCATATTATTGTGCTAAATAAATAATATGTCCTGTATGTTTTGACTGAATTGTGTGTACCTCAGTTTGTCAATGTACAGATGCTGTACAAGTAAATAATCAGCAGACAGCCAATACTGATTTCATTTTTAGGAGTTTTAGTGTCAAAATTAATTAGAAACTACCTTTGTCTGTTGCTTAGGCCAACAAAGTTTATGGGTTAATAAAGTAATATTTAGTACATTAGACTGCAGGTTTGCTAATCTTAGTTGCATCCCATTAAAGTTGTAGTGGCCAAAAAATGTGGTTAGTTCTCTGTAGTCATGGTGACATTTCACAGAAGATTACAGGGTCATCAAAATCACAGCTGTAGCCTACTATAGTCGATAATAATTAAAACAAACACTTTATCCATCTTTTTGCAGACAGCATGTACTAAAGTACATTGGCGTTACTAAACAGTGGGTCAACCTGCTCGATCAAGTGTCTATTCATTGTCATTACTGGCTCCCAGAAAAGATGGAAGAGTGCATGGGCACTGATGAATAAGTAGGAAAGAAGTGAGAGGGGAAGCAAATTAGAGGGCAAAACTGAAGAGTCAGTTGAGCTGTGGCTTGTTCACACTGCTTCTCTCTCCCTTTCTCTCTCTCCTGCTCCCTCTCTCTCTCTGACGTTCTCAAATGGAATCTTCAGGTCACGCTTGTTGGCATCATTAGGACCATGTTGCCATGGTGACGCGTGCAGCCAGTCCTCGCACCGAGAGACGCTACGAGGCAGGCACAAAGTCAAACAGGGAGAGACTTGGAAATAAACTCAACTTTCAAACTCATTATTATTGTGTAGTGCGTGCCTGTGTATGTCTACAATTACATTTTTTAATTCAATCTTTATTTTTTTTCTCGCTTCTACCGTACATGTCTTTGGATTGAGGGGAAAATTATTTGGCAAGAATTAACAACTGATATTGTTTAAGGATTAGTGCCAGATCCCTTTCCTGAGCTGACCCATTTAGTTAGGCTTGGCGTTTGAAATGTATACTGGCTTGTGACCTACATGCAGAGGTAAAATTAATCACATTTTTATTTATTATTGGAGCCCTAAGGTCAGAATTTTATAAAAGTATGCACATGTGTCAGCTACTCATGTTACCTCTATGACACGCAATAGGAAACACAAAGGAACAGTATCTATAAAATAATGTTATAAATTGACTTGAGGCTGATGTAGTTTCTATATTTGCATCAGTATTGTCACAGTTTCATTAGAGTGATAGGTTCCTCTTCAGCTCACACTTATCTCCACTAACAGTCTCCCTCTGTAAATATATGACCATTATTGATAGTCTAGAGTCCAAGAGCGTACTAGTGATTGTGAGCTCATCCCAATAATATTTGCTTTACACATACTGTTTTTAACTGGCCTTATTCTGAGACAAGCTACATTACCTAAATCAGTATTTTTTTATGAGCTTGTTTTTTATAGAAACTGTTTGTATGGAACTTTAAAAATAAGAATAGTCTATTTAATAGGGAATAAATGATATAATTTTTTGTTACTTGTTTCTTTATAATTGACACTGGCACTTTGGAGGGTTTGAACATTTCTATCATGACTTATGTCTTTATATCGACATATGGGGGTCACTTTCACTGATATATCCATTTAAGTTGAGTTATTTCATGAGCACTGACCCCTTCACACCACTTAGCCTTGGCACCCTGAATAAGTTCACTTGAGAGAAGATAATGGAGCTATGTGTGTTAATGGTGATATTGCTTCCTCTTTGCAGCCTATAGACATGGTAGATATTACAACAGATGTTCAAAAGCCAAAGGTCATTATATATTGTTACTGTCTATATATAAGTATTACTATGAAGTAGTAAAAATGTATCCACATGAATGATGAGTATCATTTTGCAAACCCTTGGATTACTGAATTATTGTTTTAGATAATCAATAGTGAAAGTATGAAACTAGATACTAATTTGAGTATTTAGAGTGGCTTTGATATACAACCAAAATATAATAGTAAAGAAATGTATATTATTTTGTGTTGAAAATCACATTCTACTGTATAAAAGTAAAGTGCGTCATTAGGGTATCAAAATTGGTACCAAGTGAGCTTTTTCCTTAGTAGTGACATTGAGTTTGAAATTGTATTATTGTGACTAAACTAATAGAAAAAGGATGTGAACGACAAATGGAAATGAGCTATTTACAGCTTTTCTGTCTGTGATTGTCTCATCAGATAATACTAGACAAAACTACTGAACTGCAGGCACAAAATGTTTCTTTAATATTCTTCCTTACGAGACAAAAGAACACACACTATTATCAGAAGTTATTAGGAACTGAAGAAAGCCTGTGTGTTTTATTGACCAGCATCAGGATCTTAAACATGTGAGAGAATGAAGACAAATAACGCACTTATTTAATACCACCTATGAATGTAACACTAATCATGTTTCTATATATAGCATTTCGGCGTCCCTCTGTACACTAGAGGAATAAGCACATTATACGATTCATATAACCCAATACATCATCATTATCAGGACTACTACTACTTTACGTCTCCGTGAAACATAGGCCACACAGACACAGTAATCCTGGACCCACACACTCTGCAATGTATGCAGTTCCCTGGTGGAGATTTGCCACGCTACATTTATGTGGGTGGACTAAACTGTGATTGGGGTAATATGGTGCTGAGGTAACTGAAATAAAGTGTAGATCACCAAAGACACAGCCCAGTCAGCAAACACACAACAGCCCCCGTGTCAGGAGGAGGCGCGAGGAGCTGGTCAGGTGGGCGGCTGCAGAGATGTCATTATGCAACTCTTAAAGCGTGAACGAAGCACATGGTTTACAGCCTATAACAACAGGAGCCTGATTTCTTATTAGCTACTTTGTCTGAACTAAATCATAGTTATGGAAAAGTAGCTACTGTGTTGATGTAACTGGCCTGCCTGACTAAACTGATGATTGAGTGATGTTGAATTTCAGAGCCCATGAAGCGGTTAGATAGTTTAAAGGTGCACTGTGTAACTTTTCTGATGGAGTGGCCATAACCCGCTTCTCTCTATGGAGATATTGCCTAAAATGTTTCACAGTATGGCATTACACTTATTTATCTCTACGAACACAGCAGGTGACACCACAGGGCCAAGTTACATGTCAGATCTGTGGAGAAGCGAACCCACTCATAGTAAGAATGCTAATTTTTAAATACCATACCATACCAAAGTTATTTATAAAGCACTTTAAAAACTTTACAGCTTGTCAAAGTGCTGTACACAAACACAGGATAGACAAGGACAATCGCAGTACAAGGCAATACACAATACAAACTCAATATAACTACTAAAAACACAGAAAACTATAAGATACTCAACAACAACAAATGTACATGTCACTTGTTAAAAGTCAGTGAAAAAAGGTGCATTTTCAGGAGTGATTTAAAAAAAGGTACAGACTCCGCCTGTCTAATCTCTAATGGCAACTAGTTCCACAGTCGTGGGGCAGCAACAGATAAATAAAAAACAATGTTATTGAGTAAATGCAAGACGGATACATTTAATGCCATACCAAGACATTCCAGAGAAATAATAACATTTCCTTGGAAACAAGGAGGTGGTGAACCCATCACCAGTAATGTTACACACTGCACCTTTAAAGGAAAAATAACTTGCTTATTAAAAATGTTTTTCCTAATCAACCTCCAATAAGGAAGCAATATCACCATTACTACACATATCTCCTCTCAAGGGAAATTATTCAGGGTGCCAAGGCTAAGTGATGTGAAAGGGTCAACACTCAGGAAATAACTCGGACTGGATACATTATGTGTAACTCTCTTATATAAAGACACAGGTTGGAAAGGTCAAGTGCTAAGAATCTCAGAAATTACAATGCCAATTTGAAATCAAGACAAAACTATACTCTGCAAATCACTTCTTGTGAGTTTGACATTTTAAAACTCAACAACTAACCACATTCGGCGCCTATGAGCAGGTTTTCTCACTTCTTCTGTACATGTCTCCGGATTGAGGTGGAAACAATTTGGCAAGACACTGACAAAACAATATTAGCATGAAAGGAATAGATTTTGTATAATATATCAGGTTTCAGAGAAAGTTACATTACATAACAGGAACCCCAGAGGTATTTAAAAGCGCAGTTCCTGCTGGTGGCCACTTTGCAGCAGGCTGACAAACATGATGACCTTCATGTAATAAATGGCCCTGACATTTACATTGGCCGCTCACTCATGTGCATTTATCAGTGCGGACACATGCTGACACCAAATCAGTCTGGGACAAAAGAGGGTTATCTTAAATGCAGCACCTTGCCCATATCTGTACACCGTAAAGATACTATTTAGACCTTGAAATTGACCAATGCTTGTGTCCATAGCTGTTTTTTTCCATAGAGATGAATGGTATTAGAGGGTGCAAATGGTCGTTCAGTGAAGACGTTTTTTCCTTATAATGATTGTTTTCTATTTTTAATTGATTCTTTTATTCAAACAGAAAATAAAAATTGCTTTCAGTGTTGAAACAGCACAAACAGCTTGGGGACCCATTTACAAATCTTGCTAAGCTTGATCAGAACTACTTTAGCCTAGATGAGCTCTAGTCTAGTCTCGATTCATAAGCTTCAACCAGATCATTGATATTTAGTAGAGACAGACCGATATTATCAGGCCAAAATGAGGACATTTTAGCACATCAGTTATCAGCCTTAAATCTCCAACACAGGATGCTATTTTGTTGCTTAGAAGGTATACACAGTTTATTTTAACACTTCAATGCGAAGAAACTGCACAAAACATGACAACACAGCTTTCTTAAAGGTGCACCTAGTGACTTTTGTGGTAGGGGGTCCCTGATCTGCTTGTCTCAATGGAAATGGGATTGCATTGTTTACAATGTCTCACAGTATGACATTAAACTAATAATATCTCCATGGAGACAAGCAGATTACATAATCAGGCCAGGTTACAGGTCAGATCAGTGGAATGCAACCCCACTTACAGTAGGGATGTTTGTTTTTCAACATATTTTGTGTTTTTCAACATGTTTTTGAGCAATAAAAACACATAAAGACAAGACAAGAAGACAAGAAACCGGTTGCATACACTCTACCAGTAAAATTACACAGTGCATCTTTAAATCTTTGTTGTAAAAAAGGGGCTGTGGGTGAGTTTGTTGTAAATTTAAATAACAGAATTTCTGGAAAATAATCCAAATCAGCCTTAAAATATTGGCAGAGCTGATCGGCCATAGTTTTTGATGGATTATAAGTATCGGCATCGGCATTAGCCATGAAAAAAAAAAAAATCAGTCTCTAATGATTAGAAATGAATCTCTATCTCGATTAAAATGTGATTAACTGCAACCCTATACCCCAGAGATAAAACTAAATGGGATAAAACTAAAGAAATGGCATGTGGTGTTAGCTGTTGTGATAAGAACAGTTTGAGAGACAGACCAGGCTGATAAAACAGTCTCTGAGTTCAATCACAGTGTCCAAAAAGAGCTATCTTTTATGTCTCAACCAAACCACAAGAGTCCCTTGATTTCTGTAGTGTAGAGTCATTCCTCCTTCTTTGTTCAGTAAAATGTGCCTACATTACTGGTCTTTTCTGCCACAGGTGTAAATTATGCAGCAAAGTGTGACGTTTGACATTTTTCTTTTGTGCTTTTGTGCTTTCATGACTCATCATTACAGCGTTATTGTCAAGTTAAAACCTTTGAATGACTTAACTTATGAATATTAGGAGAACAGGAAAGATACAGGTAAAATTCTGCCTACTTCATTTGGGATTCAGTTGGGGAAAAAAGCATATTAAGCCTTTTGTATGCTAGAAACATACTTTTTTTTTTTACTCATCATATTTTAAGAAAATATACCAAAATTGCATTCAAAAAGTAATGAAAGAGAAAAGTACCCTATGTAACTTTTCTGGTGGAACTTCCAACTGCTAGAGACAAGCAGACGTTGAATAAATTGGAGATAAATATATTTATATGTTTATTGCTTTCTACATGTCGTATACATACAGAAGACATAAGATGTGAATTATATAGCAAAGAAAATAACTTAAATAACCTAAATTTTTAACATAAAAAATTTAACCAAATGCCCAAATTAGCCACCCTTTGCTTGATAATAAAAAATATGATTTGACTTTTTTCTTTACTAAATAATTCCATACATCTTGCTTCATATAGTGGATGTCGCTTGTCTGTAAACATTGAATGAGAGGGTGAGTCAAAATTTTTGACTGGTACTGTTGGTAAAGGCAGAAATCACATGGCATTATTCATTTATACATTCATTATTTGTTGTGAATAATGTGTGCTTACTTTCATCTGGGTTGGGTGAAGCCAGGATCGCACTGTGCTGCCTCTTTACCTCCTCCACTTTGTCTGCCAAAGTCTCAATGAAGCCACGGATCTCCTCTACCTGTGGAAAGAGAACCATGGACACTGTTAGAGACAGGAAACTGCAGCGATTAGCTTAGAGTGATGTGGACTGGCACTGAAGTGAGGATGTCATTATCATATTAGAGGAGGAGTAACAGCAAAGTGGTTTTCAAATGGCACTCATTAAGTAATCCACAAAAAGCACGCTCAAGGGGAAAAGGCCTTTTAAAAATATTCTCACAGCTCATTCACCTGCATCTGTTTACATGTAGTATCAGAGCGGCAGGTGAGAGGCCCTGAGTCTGAGCTTAAGTCTGAGGATGAGAGGAAGTAATACATGGCATTAACAGCCACATCCAGACAGCAGCAGCAGCAGCTCCCACTCAGCGGCTAAAGTGTTACTATCCACACTGGTAACATGGCTTATGTTATGGTCAGTGGAGATAGTCAGTCAAGAGCCACATTTGCTTTTCAACTGTGTGTTACTAAGGTTACAAAATCTATGTTAAAATAAAATATGTTTAACACCTGAGTTCTGTGAAATGTAAAAAATGCAGATTCTTTGATTAGTATGGGACTCTCAACAAGGAGGTTAGTTCCTTGAAATGATACAATTATGTAGAGATAACCCAATATTTTTTTATGTTTTGTGATAGTTTTGTTTTCAAGGCTAAGGTAGATTCTGAACAGAAGTTTATTCATTTTGTTTTGATGAGATATAAAACATATAAATATAATTTATTGTAACTGTGAATAGAGTAACAATTGAAGTCACAAATTGCACAGCCCTGCTACCATCCCCCTACACTGCCTCTACACTGATAATAACCTTTCTTCCCATTCACAGCTGTGGTCTATGTCCCAGGTTAAACATCTGGACAAACGGTAGGGCACAGCTGTGTTCACCTGACTCCATCCATCTCCAAATAGAGCAGTCTATCATAACTCACAATCTGCTCCTCTGCACCTACCCCAGCTGTCGCCACATCCTCTTCAGTTTTGGCTTGTCATTTCTCCATCTGTACCTGATGGCTTAAACTAATCACTGATTGGATCTGTTTTAATAACATCTTAACTGACTTCAGAAGATCACTGTAGATTCATCCTGGGGTGGACTGTAAATTCAGCCTGGAAGACCTAAATTTGCTCCAGTCTACCTCACTGCTTCTCCAGAGTTTACTTTCTCCTCAGCCTTCATCCCTCACTCCAAATACTCCATCCAATCAGCGCCCCACCTCCTCCTCAGCGTCACCTCCACTTCTCACCATGTCCTCGTCCCCTTCACTTCTACCATTTCCAGTGTCCAGATCCCAGGGGGAAGACGTCTTCTAAACATCATCTAATCGGCCACGCCCCACTGCAAAGTTTTCTGCAAGGGTCTGAGCGCCAGAGCTTAACTCATTCAATAAAAACTACTAATATTTCTTTTTGTGTCAGTCTAAATGTCTCCAGGTTGGAATGGCATTTGAACTGAGTAAGACTAGTGAGTATGCTGGCAGAGACAGAGAAGGCGCAGACGATAAATGAGCGTTAAGCCCTCTCACATATAGTAATGTGTTTCTCAGATCTCAATGGACCTCACACTAATTCTATTTGTGTGGAAGGAATTGTATTAAGACACATTTAAGAGTAATGTAAAATATATTGTATCAGGAGCTCCAAATACTGCATGTGAGTGAGTTATGAAACTGTGGAAGATTATAAAGCATTGCATCACCAGGTTATTTGAGGTGTATTGTTAAAAGCGTATCAGATAAAATTTATGATACAACTTCTTCATATGAACAGTGTTTTGTCTAAGGGAGTAGTATGTGCATGTTTTTCTTAAAAAAAGTTCTAAACCTGGGACAAGAGCCCACGACACATGTGGTTTGCTTCTGCTCTGTTCACACTTGCATCATCAGCTGAAACATTTAAACAGCCATCAAAAGGTGTATACAGGATGACACATTATAGAGTCACTTTTATTTTTAGAACACAGTTGTATTTTAACCACTGCTAAGCCAGAATGTCACTCTAATAAAAGGGGCCAACCATGTGTTCAGGTTTTCATTATTGCGCAACATTAAAGTCTCAGATCAGCACATATTGCTCAACACGTCCACATACACTCACTGCTCAAAGCTGTGAAATCAACATACAACATATGGCACCAAGTCATGCCTATACACATGCAGACAGCAGGCTGAGAGGTAAACAAGCCCTCAGAGTTATTATGGCTGCCATCTGTGAAGCTTTATGTTTATGGTGAAGTGTGCCGACAGAAGGAATGATATTGCCCGTATCTTTGAACGATACTGTGGGAGAAATCACGTGCTGCATTTCACAAAACATCATATTGAAAATGGGAAATAGAAATTATATTCTTTCCAACTGCAAGAAAGCTTTGGTACATGAAGTTAACAATTTGACAATGTGAGACTAAAACTAGACAGAATCTAGGGCATTTTATCATTCATGGCAGGAATAATTTCACAAACTTTTAAAAGAATCAGTGCTACAGTGCTGAACTTTCTACTGAGTGCAAAGATTTATACATTAGTGAGAATGAAGGTATTCTGTTATCAACTTCAGAAGCATTAAAGGCTCACTATGTAACTTTTCAGTTAGGGGTCCATCGGGTTTTTGTTTCTATGGAAATGCCATTGCTCTGCTTGGAATGATCCACACAGTAGTGTTTCCCAAACTTTTTTTCTGAGGACCCATATTTTAAAAGTCACACACCTTCACGACCCAATCACAAAATAAAGGTAGAGTTGAACATTATTGAACATTAATGAGGATATTTTATTGTTGACTGACTGATCCTGTCTCTCTGAACAATTAGTATTACTCATGTTTTAAACTATGAAAAACAGTAATTGAACCAGCAATAAAATAAGGCATCTATTTGGACATTAAATGTAGCCCTGTATATTGCAGGCCTATATGCAGATCGTAACAAGGCGAACCAAAAAAAATCTTATGCGACCTACTGGAGGGTCATGGCCCAGTCTTTGGGAATTGCGTCTTCATGAGGATAGAAACGTGTAATGCAATACTCTTAAACATTTCAGACAAAGCTATAACATCTCCATGGAGGTGAGCAGGTGACAGAGCCTCCACCAGAAAAATTACACAATGCACCTTAAGTTATATATTCCGTATCAGTAACATGTCTGAAGTGTTCCTGACCTTGATGCACAAAGCCTGAGTGTGGTCATACGTGAAGGACAGGAGCAGAAGTAGTGGTGGGTCTTCACTGGAGGTTTAATTAATGACACAGTTGGAGTTAGAGCCTCCTTGTCACATGGCATTAGCCTGTCGTTCACACACTTAAATCAGACCCAGGGTTTTATGGTTGTCCTCCACAGAACCTCTATATTTCTATCACATTATTCTACAGATGAAAGTTGCATTTTAATATGACAGTGAGAGACAACCTGTCACAGAGGTAAAGACAGGAGCAGAGAACGGTCCTGAGACATACAGTAGAAATGCATAGCAAATGTTTGAAACTACTTATAGACCTTTTTAATGACTGTAAAATGTATTTGCCAGCAGTAGCCGAGAGGGATATAAATTCCTGAAAAGTATAAGAACCTTGCATTTTAGGTTGCTGCATTTGGGGTAATGTCACATGGTCATAATTGGTCTAGGCTTACTACTGTCACACACAAATTAGCAGAAGTAAAAGTATGCATTAATGATGCAAGAGGGACTCAATCCAGCATGTCCCTGTGTATCATTTGTTTTTGCTGTTAACACCTACATGCGCAAATGATGACAACTGCACTTCAACCTCTCAGATGATTATAACAAAATTGCATATATTTTTTAATATTTCACTTTTTTCTCCAAACTGCTCAGTAGGGGATGAATGTAGACAGCCCATTAAAAAGAAATTACAGATCCAAGTTTACTCGCCAGGGTTGGGTGAGCACTGCCAGTCTACATAAAACAGATGATTCTCAGCAGGTCTCCATCTCTGGGGAGGAGATACCAAACAAAAAACAATGCTAGAAAGTTAACAGCCATAAACAAATGCACCAAACTTATAAATAATAAAGTTTTATTAATGAAATATAATTTATACATTATGAAAACAACATTTTCTTCTGTCTGGAAACAAGGCAGGCTGTGTAACACTGTGTGCCACAACCAGCACAAAATCCTTTTGACATTGTTTCCTTTTCTTAATGATATAGTTAAGGATGATAGGATTTCAGTTTTGACAGAAGGTGCAATGGTGAATGTATTTTTTCCTCAAAGGTTTTGCTAATAAAAGAAGTAAAAAACATAATAAGAGTTTTTGACCTCAGTGTTTGACATTCTCCTGGCCGTTCACTGCCTTGAGACCAAAGTAGTGCCAGCCCTAAATTTAACTCAATATTTCAACCACTTCTTGATTCCTCCAGGTGAAAAGCCTGGTCATACCTGGTCAAAGAACTCATCCATGAAGCCTTTCTCCATCCCCACAGCGACTTCATCCTCTTCCTCTGTTGTCTCCTTCCCCTGGATCAAAACAAACAGCAGCATTAGGGAAAACAAGCTCATGAGAATGACCCTATGAATTTCAATTGGAAAATGCACATCAGAGGAGTGTCCACACTGAGAGGAGGAGCCCACGAGGCATTTGTTCAAGGTTAAATAAAACAGCAATCGCTCCCCTTCGTCTCACCTCTCCCCCATCAGCTGATTATAAACACAGAAACACTTAAGCACAATTGTAATTAAATCCACAGGTCCAGTGATTAAGGCCCCATGGAGGAAGTCATGACATTTAAACAATGCCTTTTACAAACACATGCATCACATAGTATGCACGAGCTGATGATTAATTATAAACAGGAAAGGTGTTATTGCCTTTCCCATAGAGACAGTGATTGGTTCAAGGTGGAAAGAGAAAATCATGAATGGTACAATAGTAATATTATGTAACAACAGTTTGAATACAGTTAGTCACAGGGGTTTGTTCGGGTGCATGTGTTAAAAATAAATAGACCAACTAACCAAAAACAAAAAAAGTCAAAGTGTTCAATATACCTGACAACAGCTTTATAACAACTATATAACACATATAATTATAACACAGGGAAGTGAAACAGCAAATCAGCTCTCATCTCAAAGCATCATGTAGCGTTGCACAAACCTAGTTTGTGATGAATAAAATGTTTTGCAATTAGATGTGAACAGCGCACAGCAGTTAGGCTCGTCATGATGAATACTATCTCGACTTATCGTCTCGACAGATGGAAATGGATCTGGGGGGTCCATATTTATTGTAGGGATTTTTTCTTTGTATTGGTGTAGGAATTTTTCTTATTGCTCTGTACTATGATAAGATTTGAGCTGTAAATGGTTGAATAAATGACTCATTCTATGACCCATTATAGATACACTTTAAGTACTCAGTGTTTCCTATAGCCAGGCACGTCAACAAAAATTTGGGGGCCCAGGGCAAGAAACCTCACATGGACTCCCCTCATGCTCAGCAGTGTCTGATTTTTTTCAAAAAGTGTTTTTTAAAATTTGCTACACTATGAAATTTAATAGAGAAAAGTTGGGTAATGCATCTTAATTAGTTATTCTGAACCTTAGCCCAGGCATCCACGATCCATTGGCGGATCGTGGTGTAATTTGCCCGGCGTTGCGCCCCTGTCTTGGTGAATGTGTATAATGAATGTGAATGTGGGTGGATAATTTAAGTTTGTTTTTTTATTTCCTACAATGACGACACAAATATACACTGAGTAATAATGTGTTTAATGCAGCTTTGCGCACATTTGTTTACGTTTTACAGAAACAAAACTTAAAACCACATGGTTAATTTGCATAAACTATAAGTGCTGAAAAAAACAGTTCACTCCTTGTGCGCTGATGCGGTGAGCTTCTGTCAGACTTCATGAGGCTCCTGACTACAGCCATAATGCGCCGACAATCCATCAAGCGGTGCAGTTCGTAGCTTACCAAAGTTGTACTAAAACATTTTGACAGATTTTTGAGCATCGTGTACCATATAAAATCAGTTTGAGGTCAGTAAGCATAACCAGTGCACTGGATTATAAGGCGCACTGTTGATTTTTGTGAAAATTAAAGGACTTTAAGTATGCCTTAAAGTCCGAAAAATATGGTACTCTAACACATCCGAGTGCACCAGATGGGATAAGTGTTTGTGAGAAGTGTCTTGCTTAAAGGGCCCATGTTAGGCTATTTTCTGATCTATGATGTTGTCTATTGTGTTGTTTCCTCATCACAAACATACACACTTTGTTTAATTCACACATGTTTAACACACAAATTCTGTATATTTAGACAAAGTTTTTCTCAAAATAAAAACAATGTACATCACAAGGTGGAGCAGAGCATTTTTAGCTGTGGAGACAAATAATCAAGAGTTACTCAAACATGTCTGAATAAAACAACACACAAACCCGAGTATGTTTTTGATGAGGTGAGGACATTCTAACATGGTTTAATTCTCAGAAGAGTTTGCGTAATATAGGACCTTTAACCACAGTGTGAAAAATATGTGTAGTATACTGGGTTGAAACATTGAATGAACCAGTTACTTGGCAAATGAAAGGCACAGAATATGAGCCTAATAAAGTGTAGTGTAAATACCCCACATATTAATCGTTAGACAGCTGAAAGTGGGTGTTTTATTTTGGAGCACCATGTGGGACTGCAGTGTGGGGAGCTGGTGTTACACTGGAGATCATAGAAAAGTATGGACTGGATAAAGAATAGAGAGAGAGTGGAGGAGGACAGAAACAGCTCCAGCTCTGAGCGCGGGCCTGTTACAGTGGAGTGGTCACACAGCAACACGGGGAGACAGGCGCAGGCTTGACTTCAGACACATAGACAGTAGAGTCTGTACAAAGAGCACCAAACAGCACTCCAGGCCCTGCACCTCCGCTCTTTTCTCACAAACACACTGGAAGGCAAAGGCAACAGACACGGCTGCTGGGTATATAGTACTTTAAAATGAGCTGCAATGTGTCTAACTGTGTCTAACAGTCTCACACTGATTTAAAGTAAGAGGATTCAAGAGTAGACTGAACTCAAATGTTGTAACCAGATTCAGAAACTTTTTTAATAGTGCGATGTACAAGCAAAAATGGGAGTGGGTTTTTAATTACAGCTATATTTCTGTTATACCTACAATGTCATAATATATGTGGTAGGCTTCTGGAATAGACACAACATATAATAAATATAATATAAACATATACTAACTTTGCTATGGGAATATCCAGATGGAAGCTCATTTGAACAATAATAAATCATTTTTTTGAGATTTATGTATTTATTTTGGGCAAGTAAGAAATTTACATTATTTTACAAAAGAACATATAACCTTAATGAAATCATAACAGAAATAACAAAAAAAAAAAAAAAAAAAAAAAAAAAATTGGCCCAAAAAAGGAGTGTGGAGAAGAAAATGTATTTAATTCCACCTCCCTCTTCTAATCTAATGAGCTTTCTTTTGAATTTTTCAGACATTTTACATTAAACTATATGAACTATTTACAAGTGCGGACAAAGAGTCACTGTTATAGTTTGGTAACATAACTGTATTGCAATAATACATAAGGATACCAACAATGGTAAGGAAAATTAAAGATACCAACAATGGTAACAGACAGCACACCAGCAATGGTAAAGAAACAACAAGCATAAAGCAGCACTACAGGAGAAAGTATAGTTCTAATATTAAGACCCACTCTCTATATACTGTGACCAGACCATATGTTTATATAACTTGAATTTATGGATATTTTTGTAATAATGAAAAAAAAAACTATAAGACCATACAACCATAACTATAAGATAACTGATGGATAAGCGACAATTATTTTGTTATAAATTACATTATATTGTCTAAAATTAGATTTTTATTTTATTTTTTTTTACTTAATATAGAAATCAAATAAGAGATTTTAAGTTGTGACAAGACTACACTGATCTTAATATGACTGCGACCCTTTTGTTGCAGGGACTATTAAGAACAGTGTATTTTCTTTGGGACACAACCCTTCAACACTGTGCCCATGGAGCTCATCTCGGCCAAACAGCCTCCATGACCTGGTTATACAGTTAAAATCCCATTAGAAAGTCATCAGTCCAGCGAGTTGCCCCAAAACACAATAGACACTCTTGGGTGCACAAAGTAATAACGAAGTCAGCACAGACAAAAAGAAAGTGCCACAGTACAACAGCAGTGAAGTTTTCAGGCACAGAATATGTTATAGAGGGACACAGGTCAAGAGGAGGTAAAGTCAAGTGAGCAGCCCTTTTATTGTTCTTTTATATTCCAGTATTAAAGGAAAGCCATTTCCCCCATCTCAACACAGCAGCTAATATAGACAACTTCCTCTCGTCCCTTCAGAAATGACTCATAAAATGTATGTCACGCACACACAGAGAATAACGACTTTATTATTACAAGGTAATACAGCAAGGTACAGTTCATTATGTATGGGGGCTCACATAACCCGCAAGGATGCCCATGAACTTCTAATTTGATTTGATTGATTTATTCATAATTTGTGACTATATTTTCCCAACTGAAAAATACTCAGTGAGAGGTTAGGATCAATATATAAATTAAACAATAAAATAAAATAACTTGGGACAAACAAACAAACAAACAAAAAACAATGGATTCTCAGATTTGGAAATGAATAGAGCCAATAAGCTAATCAACGTTATACGGGACGAATGATTAATTTTTGTGGATTTTCAGTAATGACACAGTGGACAGTGGCCCTTTGAGATACATGATGTAAGCACACAGTCCAACTTTATAAATACATTCATATTATTAATTCTACTGTAACAAAACTAGATAAAGATGTACTCCAGTGTGACCTGAGTGTCATTAATCTGACAGTGCTTGTTTTTTTTCTTGTGGAAACTTTCAGAATGGGAGTGATAGGTATTGTAGTAATAGCTTGAGTGTATTTTCTCCCCAAACGCCTGGCTCAGTGTCCACCCTCTTTAATCATCTTCATTTTTTCATCTGTCCATCATCCGCTTGCCTCCTCCACTCATTAATACATCTCTCCCACACAATACACACACAGCTGTCACTCTAAAGACCACCACATCATCCATACCGCAGACACGAGCCAAAAAAGGCCTTTAAATGTTTTCTCCACATAAGCCTACAGCAGATCATTCTTCTGAGGGGATTATGATTAGTGCCAATCTACAAGATGCCACACATTACAAAGTCAGGTTACACATAATAGTGATTACAAACACACCTCACCTCACATGAAGAATGTCCAAGCATTTATGTTTGGAGTTTGCAAGTTCTTCTTACTTTCTTCTATCAGTTTTAAACATGGCTCCCAGTCACTGATGTAGCCCGGTGGTAAATGTGGGTATTATATTGTAATAGAAACTAGAGGGGTTAGTTACTTCTTTATTGCACTAAAATGAAGTACAAGATTAATAAAAAGTTAACTTTCCTTAACCTTCCTAAACTTTTAGTGACACATGACTTC